ACATTGGAGAGTGGATTGGTGCCAACAAGCACACAATCTACAACTTCAGCCCGCATGCCCGTCCTGTGCCACTGGAGCTTCACCTTCAGTCCTTCTCCATCCCCCACTTCCCCTCTGCCATGCTCGCGATGGCTCGTCCAGCCTACCAATCGATCTTGCAGCTCTCCCCAGATAAGCCTGCTTTGATCTTCGTTCCAAGCCGCAAGCAGGTCCGTGCAACTGCTGCGGACCTCCTCTCGGCGTGTGCCATCAATAACGATGAAGATCGTTTCCTGAACGCTGACGTCAGTGAGCTTGCTCCTTTGCTTGAGCGTGTACATGAGCAGACACTTGCCACCTCGCTTTCCCACGGCATTGGCTACTACCACGAAGCTCTCAATGCCACTGACAAGCGCATTGTCCTGCACCTGTTCAACATTGGTGCGATTCAGGTGCTGTTGGCTTCGAGAGATGTGTGCTGGGAACTGGATATCACAGCTCACTTGGTCATCGTTATGAACACTCAATTTTTCGATGGCCGTGAGCATCGCTACATTGACTACCCCATCAGCGATATCTTGCAGATGTTCGGCAAAGCCTCCCGTCCCGGTCTGGACAAGCTTGGCCGTGGTGTCCTTATGGTGCCAGCAGTGAAGCGTGACTACTACAAGAAGTTCTTGAACGAGGCCTTGCCTGTCGAGAGCCACCTACAGGTCTATCTCCACGATGCCTTTGTGACTGAAGCCAGCACAAGGACCATCTCCTCCACCCAGGATGCGATTGATTGGATGACATATACCTATTTCTATCGCCGTCTCCTCGCAAACCCGAGTTTCTACGGTCTTAGCAACGTGAGCCACGAGGGACTCAGCACGTTCCTGTCAGACTTGGTCGAGAACACATTGAAGGAGTTGTCAGAGGCAAAGATTATCGAAGTTGATGAGGAAGATGACAGCGTTTCGCCTTTGAACGCTGCCATGATCGCTGCTTACTACAACATTTCGTTCATCACTATGCAAACCTTCTTGATGTCTCTCTCTTCACGGACGAAGCTCAAGGGCATCCTGGAGATTGTGACCTCGGCGACTGAGTTCGAGTCTATCCAGATGCGTCGTCATGAAAATCACATTCTCCGCCGCGTGTACGATCGTGTGCCGGTCAAGATGTCGGAGGTTTCCTTCGACTCTCCTCATTTCAAAGCCTTCGTCCTCCTCCAGGCCCACTTCTCCCGCATGCAGCTCCCTCTTGATCTTGCCAAGGATCAGGAGGACATCGTTCGCAAGGTCCTCAACCTGCTCAGCGCTTGTGTTGATGTGCTCTCATCCGAGGGTCATCTCAACGCGATGAACGCAATGGAGTTGTCCCAGATGGTGGTTCAGGCCATGTGGGATCGTGACAGCCCTCTGAAGCAGATTCCCCACTTCTCTCCTGAGGTGATCAAGGTGGCTAATGAATACAAGTATGTATCATCAAAACAATCTCCAGACACATCTGCTAATCTCCATTTTTACAGGATCAACGATATCTTCGAATTCATGGAGGCCATGGACCCATCGGAGAACAAGGACTACGCTGCTTTGGTCAAGCGTCTTGGACTCGACAACAAGCAATTGGCGCAAGCTGCGGCTTTCACCAACGAGAAGTACCCCAACATCGAGCTTGACTTCGAAGTTGAGGACGCCGAGGGCATCACCTCGGGCGAACCCGCATACCTCAAGGTCAAGATCGAGCGGGATATTGAAGAAGACGAGGAACCCGACGCCACTGTCCACGCACCTTTCTACCCCAGCCAGAAGATGGAGAACTGGTGGTTGGTTGTTGGTGACGAGAAAACCAAGAACCTGTTGGCTATTAAGCGTGTCACCATCGGCCGCAAGCTCGAGCTGCGCCTGGAGTATGTCGTTCCTACGCCCGGAGAGCATGAGTTGACGCTCTACCTCATGAGCGACAGCTATGTTGGCGTGGATCAAGCTCCCACATTCAGTGTCAATGCTGCAGAGGGAATGGACGAGGATGAGAGTGAGGAGGAGGAAGAGTAAATTTCATGATTTGGGTTGCAATTTGTAATAATAGTTCATGTTTTCAAAGCCTTTAGAATATGAAGGAGTTCGATATTACTTTTTCGATGTGACACTACGTAAAATACATTCATTACTCTATACTTTATATGCCAGAATAGAGATTTTATACACGTATTTGATCCATACCCAACTATTCACATCTTTAATTCAAAATATTCTGTAAACAGACAAGTCTGCAAGGTACATGGCGCTTACCCAATTAGGGCCAGAAATCCCCCGCATGATCACGTTCCCCCAACCTCCCCTTCTCCAACTCTCCCTCTCCCCTCTCATATCTCTCCCTCTTCAGCATCAATAGCATCCTAAGTCGTGTCCTACATATTGATTTTATTCAGGCCCTGTTAATATCTTCAATTAAGCTCAATTCGACCCAGGAAGCTCGGTGGAGCTTCCTATCTTATCTTTCAGACGATCTGACATGGCAATTCGCACCATGAAGTTTACTCCCGAGTAAGTACCGTTGATATACTTGACAGATTGATATTTAATCTTCATTGAGCAAATTTTCATAGCTCCTGACTAATACAGAACTTTCCAGGGTCCTGCTCGGAGCACCCAGGCGGTCCTCAGCCACCCCCAACGCGGCCGGCACCCTAGCAGTCTACACGCAGACATCCTACTCTTTCGAGTCCCATTCCAAGACCAATGAAATTCGCGTTATCGATATCAGCTCCGGCCGATCTGCCCTTATCACCAACGACCCCGGGGCCAGTAACCCACAGTGGGTGGACGACAGCAATAAGCTAGTCTGGCTTAAGAGCAAGGGCAATGGGAATACAAGCTTCATCGTCGGCGATGCCCACCAAGCTGATGAAACATACACCGCAGGCACTGTCCCAGGCCCCGTATCGGACCTGAAGGTGGTCCTTCTGGAACCAGGAAAGGTCGGCTTCGCCGTGACAGGCAAAGCCAATACAGATGGATCGCTGTACAACCCCCACGATGCTAAGAAGCCACACACAACCGGTAGACTGTACACATCTCTCTTTGTTAGACACTGGGACTCGTATGTCGAGCCCCAGAAGAACGCGATCTTCTATGGCTTGCTGGAACAGGCTCCTCTGTCACCGGCCCGTAGACGGGCTGGGAAGTACTCCATCTCGGGTCTCACGAACTTGATCGCGGTCTCGGGACTGGCGGGCGTCGAGTCACCGATTCCGCCTTTTGGTGGTACTAGTGACTTTGATATTAGTCCGTCGGCTATTGTGTTCATTGCGAAGGACCCTAACCTAAACCCTGCGACTCATACTTCGTGCTCGTGCTACTATGCTCCCATGTTCTCGTGGACTAGCATGAGTGAGCCTGAATCGAAGATCTGCAAAGTTGCCGGTCTTCAGGGAGCGATGTCGTCCCCTGTACTTAGCTCGGACGGTAGCTCTATTGCCGTTCTGGCGATGCGCGAGGATGGCTATGAGTCTGATAAGAACCGTATCCTGTATGTTCCTAACCCATGGAATGGCGATATGATCGAAATATTCCGGTCGGACGATGGCGAAGGACTCTGGGATCTCAGTCCCTCGGCCGTGTCATTTGCTCATGATGATAAGTCGCTGCTCCTTCACGTCGAGGAGGTTGGCCGCGGAATTCTTTACCAGCTGCCGTTGGAGAATGTGCAGACAATCAAGCCCGACTCTCTAAAGAGACTAACCCGGGCGGGTTACGTGAACGACGCCGTTCCCGCGGCTGCCGGATCGTCCAAGCTGTTCGTGTCTAGCAGCAACCTGGTCGATAACAGCCTGTGGACCATAATTGACCCAGCCAACCCAGATGATATCCAATTGGTATCCTCAAACGGGCGGGGTGGCAGTGCATTTGGCTTGTCCCCAGCGCAGGTCGATGAGATTTGGTTCAAGGGAGCCGAGGATCACCCTATCCACGCGTGGGTCGTAAAGCCGTCGGACTTTAAACCCGGCAGCAAATACCCGCTTGCGTATTTGATCCACGGTGGACCCCAGGGTGCGTGGAACGATCAGTGGAGCACACGCTGGAACCCCGCTGTTTTCGCCGAACAGGGCTACGTCGTGATTACGCCTAACCCAACAGGCAGTACTGGCTACGGGCAAGCCTTCACCGATGGAATCCAGGGACAATGGGGCGGTCGGCCATATGAGGACCTGGTTAGGGGATTCGACTATATCGAGCAGCATTTGGATTACGTCGACACTACGCGCGCGGTTGCACTGGGCGCCTCGTATGGCGGCTACATGATGAACTGGATGCAGGGCAATCTTCTCGGGCGCAAGTTCAAGGCGTTGGTCACGCACGATGGAGTGTTTAGTATGACCTCTCAGATGGCTAGTGAAGAGCAATACTTCCCTCTGCATGACCTGAAAGGGCCGATCTGGAAGGTGCCGGAGAACTGGGCGAAGTGGGATCCATCGCGGTTCACGGAACACTGGAATACACCTCATCTGATCATTCACAACGAACTGGATTACCGCCTGACGATCGCTGAGGGTCTGGCTGCCTTTAATGTGCTTCAGATGCGCGGCGTCGATAGTGCGTTCTTGACGTTCCCTGACGAGAATCATTGGGTTCTGAATCCTGAAAACTCGCTCATGTGGCACCGGACTGTTTTCAATTGGATTAACAAGTACGTTGGACTTCCTGTAGAGGAATCCGATCTGTCACGCGGAGTAGCCAGTTTGTCGCTGTGACAATAGTCTCTTTGATGGCTAATAAAGGGAGCTAAACTTGAACATGAAACGTATACGAATATTTTTTTTATGAAGGTTATTGTTCTTTTCTTGGAAACAAAGCCTTGAGTACACGATGTCTTTGTGCTATAAGTTGTTTCGGGTGTTTCATCTCATTGTCGATGGTTCTTTGAGGGTTTGGACAATCACATACATTTCTTATATATAAAGTGTCCTTTTCCTCTGCATTTTAGTTATATTTCTCATACATTGCATAGTAAATCACCTCGACAATTCAATCAAAATGGAAAACGATCCAACAACTCCCAACTCCCCTGACAGCGTCGGTTGGATCTCTGAACGAACCCTTTCAGTTTCCACCACATCAACCACCACACTGGCAGATCCTTTCAGTCCAATGAGCATCTCAACACCTCAAGACTTCACTAGATCTCCCTTCCCAATCGAATCACCCAATATCCCCTTCCACGAAAGTCCCAACTTCCATCCTCAGTTCCTCCCCCTCCTACGCCATCTCTCTACTGAACTTTACCCTCTCGTCAACTGTGAAACAGGCCTCCACCACCCGGACTTCCCACCAAACATGTTGGCCTACAATCTTCTGACCTCGGAACAGGTTGATAACCTCGCCCGTCATTTCCATCAGGTCTACCCACCTGTCCCGGCTACATTTAATTATCCTATTCATATTAAACCATGGATTGGTACTGAGGAGGAGAAGACAATTGATCTTCCTACGAGGGTGAAGAGGTTAGGGCGGTTTTTCGGGTTGAGGGGATGTGAGGAGGGGCGGGATGTGGATATAGAGGACGATCATGCTGATCCTGAGAATGGAAATGGTAATGGGAATGAGATGAGTGAAAGTGATGAGGTTTTACAACAAATGGAGTTGGAATGGCAACAAGCATTGCAGAGAGCATATGCTGAGGAGTCGCATCGATGGAATTTGAAGTAAATTTCAATGTTATAGAAATATATTGAGAATAGACCAGGCTATTTATGACAATGCCAATAACACTAAAACATCCAATTTCCTTTTTGAGACGGAGTTTGCGCCGTGGCTGACGCCTCGTTTTTGTTTAGCCGTCGGGTAAAAAGGAGAAAGAAAAAAAAGACACAGGCTAATAGAGGGGGGGGATAATAGTGGAATAATGGGATAATGAGGGGAATGAGGGTGATTATGGGGTAATAGATGGAATAGAAATAGAAATATTAATAGTCTCTCCATTGCCCTACTTTCTATCATCTACCATCCACCATCTATCATCTATACAATTCACCATAACAATCTACAATATAAAATCTATCAAAATGTCCAAACCTCTCATCAACCACATCTATACAGCAGACCCCTCCGCCCATGTTTTCAAAAACAAACTTTACATTTACCCCAGTCATGATCGTGAAACAGACATCGCTTTCAATGACAATGGCGACCAATATGACATGGCTGATTACCACGTCCTCTCAATGGACTCAATCACCAGCCCCGTAACCGATCACGGTGTTGTCCTCCGCGACAAAGATATCCCCTGGGTCTCCAAGCAACTCTGGGCTCCAGATGCAGCCACAAAAAATGGGAAATTTTACCTCTTCTTCCCGGCCCGTGATCACAAGGGTATCTTCCGGATCGGTGTAGCTGTCTCCGATGCCCCGGAAGGTCCTTTCGTCCCCCAGAAGGATTATATCCAGGGTACCTACAGTATTGACCCTGCTGTCTTTGTTGATGAAGAAGCTGGCGGTGAGGCATATCTCTATGTCGGTGGTATCTGGGGTGGACAGTTGCAGTGTTGGGTTGAAGGGAAAGATATTGAGAATGGGGAGTGGGTTGATGGGGATGAGGGTGGTGAGGGTGGAAAGAAGAAGAGACTTGTCTTCGATGAGAGTATGTCTGGGCCTCAGGAGCCATCTGGAGAGGGTGTGAAGGCGCTTTGTCCCCGTGTTGCTCTGTTGAGTGATGATATGCTTTCGCTTGCCTCGTCCGTTAAGGAGGTGGTTATTCTTGCCCCCGAGACGGGTGAGCCTTTGTTGGCCGATGATCATGAGAGGAGGTTCTTTGAGGCTGCTTGGGTGCATCGTTATAAGGGAACTTATTATTTCTCTTACTCGACTGGTGATACTCATTTCTTGGCTTATGCCACTGGTGACTCGCCTTATGGTCCGTTTACCTACCGCGGACGCATTTTGGATCCTGTGCTTGGATGGACAACTCATCATTCCATTGTTGAGTTCCAGGAGAAGTGGTACTTGTTCTATCATGACTGTGAACTTTCAAACGGAGTCGATCATTTGAGATCGGTGAAGGTTAGGGAGATTGTTTATGATGATGAAGGAGCTATTCATCTTGCTGAGAAACAGACTCCTGTTCAATAGATGGTATTGAGATTTGAATTTATTTGTTATTATTGTCTTTGAATCATTTATACCTTGGTGTAATGTATATGTACATTCTATTCTAATTGAACATTCCCTTATCCCAATTCTCCTGGACCAACTTCCAGTACTTCTCACGAGATCGTTCACGGAAGGTCTTTCCAAATTTAATCATAAAGAGGAATACCGAAGAACATGCCATACCAACAAAGGCAGCAGAAATAAAACATTTCTGGTACCCCAAGTCTTTAACCCAAGGTGTGATACTAATTAAGGTCAGTTTTAAGTCTGCTAGGAACTCGAAGAAAGAAACATACCCAAAACTAATGGCGAAAGACATGGTATTCCGGACCAGCATCACACTAACCAGCGCAACACTGCTCAGTTCACGGTAGCTGTCAATAAAATAATTGACGCTAAGCGAGATACCACAGGCATTGCTGAAACCAAGCATGGAAATGGCCACGAGGAGCCCAAACCAGTGGATCTCGTGAGCAGCGCCGACACCCCATAGAATAAGGGAACAGGGTACAAGTATGAAACAAACCATAAAGGGCCAGAGCCGGTGCTCTGCCTCCATGATGCCGCCGTTTCGACGGGCTAGTTTGACGGTGAGCCAGTCGCTGAATCGGCCAGTGAAGAGGGATCTATTTTGGTCAGCATCAGCTTGGTTGAAGTATTGATTAGACGGGAGAATCTTACCCTATCACCACACCAGTAATGGGAGCTAGATAACACAGACCGACCATAGAAGATCTGGGATGAGTTAGCTTGGATTCTGCATTTGCTCGAGTAATAAGACCAACCCGAAGTTATATGGATCTCCGCCAAGAATGATAGAAGTCGTTCCATTCATAATGTTAAAGTAAACCAGGTAGGATCCATAAGAGAAGCTGGATTGCATGTTAGTCAACATTCATAAGCCCAAGACATTGCAAATACATACCCAGCATAGAAGATGACCGGCCACGAGAGGAAGTAAAGAGACTGCCAAAATCGACGGAACATCGTATTGGTATCCTTTCTTGGACTCCAGAGTGCTAATTTACTTATATATGACTTCTTAGTGTAAACTGTACCGGTCTCAGCAGGCTCGGTGTCAGCGGCTGTAGATTTCTTCTCGCCGTCTGAGCTGAGTTTGGGCAACTGTGTGTGTGCAAAATTGCCCATCTCGTCGACGTTCGCTCGAGAATAGGTAGTTTCCTCGCAGAAAAAGAAGAGGAAGACGGTTGCACAGCCGACAAAGATACTTGGGTAGTAAAACACCCACCGCCAGCCGTGGTACTGGGCGATGAAGCCGCAGATGACAGGCGCGATGTAATTACTTCCTGCTAGACAGAATGCGTATAGTCCCATGTATGTTCCTCGCTGGTGAGTGAAGTACTGATATTTTGTAAGAATGGGTTCTTTTGTTAAGGCGGGTTCGACTTACCACATCGGTGACAGATATTTGAGGGAGCGCTTCCACGGGCGCCGTGAAGAAACCTAATAGAATACATCGTGCGAGCCATTGACCGGTCGTCTTTGCATATGGTCTAAGCGGTGTTAGTAGACTTGTCTCTCATGGTGAGCATTATACTTCTTACCCCCACATCGTCATAGCCTATAGATTAATTATTAGCTATCATCTTCAAGTGATATCCAATTGTGAATATCTTACCAAAATTCCCATCATGGACAACAAGTAAGTCGGCCGCTTGCCATACTGCATAGCAAAGGGCTGCCAGAATAACAGACCCCAACCAGCCAACAAGAACATAAACCCAGTTCCCTGATTAAGAGTACTGATAGGTAATCCCGTTTCTTCGGAGAGCGGCCTAAGGACTGAGTAAACAACCGAGCAGGCAATTCCTCCGAACCCGGTATAGCTAGAAACATGGCATTAACATCCAATCGTATTACACGTCGTAAACTATACTCACACGCTCACACAAATAGTCGATAGGAGCTTCCTTCTTGGACTCCAGTTGAGAGGGTCGTCTGGGTCATTCGAGGGCGTAGGGATTAGCACAATATCACGGTCTCCATGGTCTGCATGTCTGGCTTCTAAGTCATGATTTACATCCACCAGAGTGACAGTTCCTGGTATAGCTGTGCTGTCGATGACTGGCGCCATGGTGGGGGGGCAAAATGCAGATTTCCCTGTATGTGAAAGAGTAAAAGAGCAAAAGAGCAATTGAAAGAGCAAACAGGAAGGAAGCAATATAAATGGGATATCAATCCCCACAGATCAACATATTTGGGGAAAAGACCCCGGAGATAGAAAAGGGACGAAGTTGGGCAATGATAGACGAAATAAAAAAAAAGATAAGGAGAGCTATCGGTTTCCCCCGCAAACTCGGCCTTGGCGAGGGTTTTGGATGTTTTTTATATCTTCAATTTATCTCTTTCATCCAATCATCTCTTCAAATATCAAATATCTCCAATTAATTGCGGAGTATCTCGGCATTTAGTCCGATTCTTATCAACGACATTCATTGGATAATTCATTGTTTTACTTACTTGACCCCCTAGTTGACCCCCCCAATTAACCCCCCCAATTAACCCCCCCAACTTCTTTGATAGTCATAGATTCCCTTCCTATTTCGGTCTAATGTCTTCCTTTTCAGGAAATAAACGACTCAACTAATTCTTGGCTTCGCCGCCATAACGCCTCTGCACTTTCTTCACCCGCTGGAAAGTCGAGATGCGGTAACTTGGGTGTCTGGCAATGGTCGAGAAACGCTCCAGATTGGGCTAAAATCTCGTATTCACCAATCAGTATGGAGGACATATATGTCACATGGTTATCTCTACCTTCAAGTTCCGGATCGAGCAATCCACGCAACACTGTGGCACTACCTTGACCGAGAGATTTCGGCGCTTGCTGTAACAGGACCGGGATATCTTCACCCGCTGGAAAATCCTATCAGAATGGTCTTCACCGCTGTCTCAGATGGTCATACCTTCTTTCTTCCGCTGGAGCCAGGATTTGATATCCTCCATTGCAACATATGTCTGGATGTTGGTTTTGGTATCTGACTGGTTAAGATGAATACCGGAAACACAATTCATCAATTAACTCACTTCCTGGATTTGCAGAAAAGGCAACGATAGATTTCTTCTTCGCAAAAGACTTGATAAACAAAACGATGGCGAGCATGGATTGTGAATATCCATCGAGACAATGGTAATTCTCTCCATTCTATCTAAATCAGCATTTACTACGACAGACCTAATCAGCAAAGCTCAAGCTCACCTGAAACAATAAATCTTCCCACGAAGGTGCAGGCGCCTCGTTCCGCAGACTAGACGTAACCAGAACAACCCTCGAACCAGGTTTCATAATTGGACAAAGCAGATTCAGCATCAGGAAATAACACAGGTAATTCCTCTGGAAATGGGACTCGAGTCCGTCCACCGTGAGCTCCCACGGTACAGCCATGACCTCCGGAAACCCAACGAAGCCATCGATGGTCACGCCTAATTTCATGATAGTTTGCGCTGCCTCCTGAAATGAAGCCAGCATGCCGGGGTCGGCCGTCACAAAGATCATTTTGACCGCATTGTATTTCCGCTTGATGTGGTCAAGCACAGGCTGGAGTTCGGGCTGCGAGCGACCTGTGCATATTATAGTTCCTGCACCCCCGTGGGCGAGGGCATCTGCGGTTGTTGCGGCGAGGTCGCCTCGTTTGAGGCCGGATATTAGAACTGTGGGAGATTGGTCAGTTTACATACCGGGTTGGGTGGGAGTGTGGTGTACATGTTTTCCTCTTCACCCGGTCTGGGAACGTCTTCGTCACGTCCATCCCCTGTGTCTGCTCGTCGAAGGTACTCATAGTGCTGGATTCTGTTTGAATTGGGTTGATATGTTGAGAGATGTCTGCTTTGAATAGACAAGCTCAACATGTCGTCATCATGAAGCCATCTCGGAGTGGATATTCGACCTCAATACATTGAGGTAAATAGGGCGATAATTGGGGCAAGTGATATTTAGGGGGAACATAGAATGGAATTTTGAATTGCAAAACATATAGACGCGCTAGGGAACTTCGAGCAACAAGTAGATGGGAATCAGCCTCAGGAGAAATGAATCAAATGCGCATTCATAATGTACAGCTAAATAAATCGAATACGGAGCCTGCCGATCAAATAACGCAGAAAGAAACACGCGAGATCAGGATATTAATGCGATGGACCGGCCTCATCCTCAGGCATCTGGTCAATAACGCTCTTCATGAGCTCAATAAGCTCATCAATGTCGGGCCGTTCCGAGGGTTCAACAGTGAGACATCGGCGAACAATATCCTTGACGGGTGCACTGATCGCAGGGACATCGCTTTTAGATGCATCATCGGTTTCGCCCGACTTGGCTTTGCCCTTAGAAGCGCCAGACTTCTCATCAGGGAATCGCCAGTCACCACCAAGAACACACATGCTCAAGCTACCACCGGTCTCCTCACTGCGCGCCTCAAAGGGACTCTTGCCCACGAGACAGGCGTAGAGTGTGCAGCCAAGCGACCAGATATCAACCTTGGTATCGATGATCGACCCTGTCTTCACATCGAAGAGCTCAGGTGCGCGGTATGGCATCGTGCTGTGTTCTGCTGCGGTATCTTGCACCGCCAAGGCGAGGGAGCGCGATGTGATGGCGATGGGGCTAGGCGCCAAAGAGCCCAGATCCATGAGGATGGGTGATTGGCCGTTGTCGTCGATCATGATGTTTCCTATAACAGTTAGCTCATCGAGTCGACTTGGAATTTCCGCACGGTAATTCACCAGGCTTGACATCTCGGTGCGCATAGGGGCGCAGGTCCCCATCCTCGACACCTTCCTGACTCCGGGTGACCTCGTCATCCATCAGGGGCTCATTCTCCTCATCCTCCTCGCCTTCAGCCATGCTATGGGTAGCCCTTCGCTTCGGCTTCATATGCATGGTCCGTTCCTCGTCTGCCTCCTCGCCTTCTCTCCGAACAGCCTTCGCCTTGCGCGTAGACGTCGCTCCGCTCTTCACCCGGTACTGATGCATCGCGCGAAGCGCATCGGCCACACCCAGTATCAGGACCATCAGCCGCTTCTCTGGGAACTTGGTATGGTTAACCAGATTGGCATTGATGGCATCCTGGAGATTACCGCGCTGGTAGTATGGAAGTAGGATATAGACCGTCTTCGAGCCTGGATCTCCGCCATCGGATCTGAATTTCGAGCCGGATTCTGTGGACACGCAGTGATCGATCGAGTGGATGATGTTGGATTGGGAGCTGAAGAGGTTGTAGGCTTCGACTTCTTTCAGTGCTTGCGATACGGATTCCTGGCCAAATGGACAGCGGATCTTCTTCAGCGCGAATAATTCGGAGCTCGTTTTGTCTTGGACTAGGTAGACGTAGGAAAATCCGCCCTGTTACGTTGTCAGTTCAGACCAGGTTGCAGTTATTGGGGATCCATACCTCGCCCAACAAACGTAAAAGTTTGAAACTTCGATTGTTGATCTTCAGCTGTGGGGAGCTAGGAAAGCAACACATGCAATCCGTGAAGTTGTACAGAAGGTCGAAGAAGTATTGCGCCATGGTGTATAATGCGATGGTAGGTAAAGGGCCCGGTGACGTCCGGAATGGTAGGGTGGTAGATGCGCAGGAGTTAGTACAGATTGGAAAAGATCGTCGCGGAAGATAGAAGTGTCTTAGAGAAGGTAAGGATATATGCAAAGAAGTGGAAGTTCAAGTCGGTTCAAGTTGGTATTACGTGGAGTGGAGTCCTTTTTGTTGTCCCCCCCTTTCTCTTGTTTCTTTTGTTTTATATCTACACATTTCTTGACTCTCTTTTTTTTTCTTATCCTAACTGGTTAAGCTAGAACTGGTTGGGTCTTTTTTCATTTGTTTCTATCTTTTTCCTTTCCCAATCGCCATGGGAGTTGGGCCGTCAACTTGATATCCTTGCATTCTCCTAACGCTCCCTCTACACCCTTGACTTCGAACCCTTCCAGGGGCTATTGATATTCGCCCGGATCTTTTATTTAAAAGCATCCCGCATTTTTTTTTATTCTCTTCATATCGATATACTTCACAATGGCGCACGATGATGTACGTGTCGGTGAGGTGGTCAATGTCCCCGGTGGCATGCATGGAACGGTCAAATACTTGGGACCAGTAGCGGGGAAGGCCGGACGATTCGCAGGAGTCGAACTGAGTTCTGAACACGCGCAAAGAGGCAAAAACAGTGGCGATGTCGACGGCCGGAAGTACTTTGTGACCTCCATTCCGGGTGCTGGCATATTCGTTCCCATGAACAACAACAAATATGTCACAAAGCGCTCAAATGTCTCTACACCCACCACTCCTGCGCGTGGAAGACCCGTCAACTTTAGCAAATCCGTCAGTGCAGCACTGACGACCCCTCGCCCTCGAGTCCGGCGACCCTCTCTCCCTCGACCCGAATCCCCGCGCGTGCCTCCTCCAAAGCTAAGCCTAGCCGGCTTGCGTACACCATCAGCTGCATCGAGGACAAGCGGGATGAACAGCGCCATGCGTAGCCCCGTCAAGGCACCATCTCGGCTGTCTGATAGACCCTCTTCGCGACTGAGTGTGGATGATGATGCTTCGTCGTATGGACGGCCATCAGACTTCCGCCAACCACCCTCGTCGGAGATTCAAGAACTGAAGGATCAGATCAAAAGCCTAGAGAAGCAGCTTCTAGACCGAGATAAGCAGCTCGATGAGCAGTCTGGCACTTTGAGCGAGTTCCAGAAGACCTTGGAGGAGATGGAGGGACCGGATGGCCATTCGGTCCGAACACAGCTACGTGAACGCAACGAGCGGATTATCCAATTAACAGCCGAATTCGACGTCCACCGCGCAGATTTCAGAAGCACCCTCGATACATTGGAGATCGCGGCCTCCGAAACAGAACGCGTCTACGAGCAGCGTCTCGACGAGCTTATGCAGCAGAACAAGGAACTGCAGGACCGCGGCGAAGATGTTGAGATTGTTGCGCAGCAGCTCAAACAATTGGAAGAACTGGTCTCGGAGTTAGAGGAAGGTCTCGAGGATGCCCGCCGTGGAGAGGCCGAGGCTAGGGCCGAAGTCGAGTTCCTCCGCGGTGAAGTTGAGCGAACCAAGTTGGAGCTCAAAAAAGAGCGTGATAACTCCGCCGCTGCATTGAAAGACGCACACTCCACCGACGGACCCCGCAGCAGTAGTGAACTAGACCAGAAAGATGATGAGATCCGAGGACTCAAAGCCATTATTCATTCATTGAGCCGCGGAAACCCCAGCACGGCAGGCTTGGGACAGAATAATTCGGACTATGATCATAATCCAGAAGAGATTAATCAGCTGGAGATTCGACTACAAGAGATCGAAGAAAATACGAACCGCAAAGACAGCCGGATCGAAGAGCTTGAGCGTGAACTCAAAGAAATGCACCTGCAGTCTGGTAGCCGTCGCCGCAGCTCTACTGTCACCCTTTCACCGAAGCAACACAGGCCATCGCAGTCTGCGGGCAATATCTCCAATCACTCAAACAACCCCAACCCCAACCGTCTCTCTGACCGTACAGTGGTCCCGACCGACTGGCACGATGCTCCTTCGGAGCCCCGCCATCGCCGTGATATCTCCAACTCTTCCCAATCGCGGCTCGAAACCATGCATGAATCCGAGCGCTCTTCCGACGAGGATACCATGTGGTGCGAGATCTGCGAAACCGGCGGCCATGATATCCTGAACTGCACCAGCATGTTCGGCTCTGGCAAGAACACTGCTGAACGGAAGAATCTCGCTCGTGATGCTCCCGACGAACTTGCCGATGAACACCCAGTTCAGAAGACCGAACCTCTCAAAACCAAAGCCTCGTCCATCCATTCTGATACTCCCCCCGCATTGAAGACGGGAAGGGATGTGGTCATGGAAGGATTGAAGGGCATCGGCGGGCTGAGCTCCTCCATGGCTCCTATTGCCGGTAAATCATCGGGAGTCATCGACGAGTCTAAGTGGTGTGCTCTTTGTGAGCGAGATGGCCACGAGAGCATTGACTGCCCATTTGATGAGTAATGCTCTACATATGCATGAGTGCACCACATAACATTCCAGCTCTTTGCTGCATGCATCTACGGGGGGGTTTTTTCTAGTACATTATTGGGTTTTGGTTTCACCCGGGTTAATAAAGGTGTTTTCTTTTTTTTTGCATCAGCTGGAGCTTCCTGGTAGCTGGGAGTGAGGTCTTTATCTCAGGGAGGATTTGCATGAGGCTGTGTGCTTGTAATAAATACCATTTCTTTGGTCATAATAAGATGTCGTTGGAGTATACAACAGATTTCCATCTTCCATTGTATGTCGAGAGACGTACTCATCTTATTTTTATTTCTTTTTCTATTCATGTCATATCAAATAATGTTGAATTCGTCAGTCATAACCATTCATGATCGAAGAAAGATTACAGTTGCAGCAACCTCACCCTCCAATCGGTCTGATCAATATACTATTCAGGATGAGTCGGGGGCTGTACAATTTCCCCATCCTGATACTTGGACGCCGCAATCTTTCCACAATTCTTACACTTGCGCTTTTCTTCATCGGCCGCAAATTCCTCAACAACATCCTTAACCTGCGTCCCCAGGTCAACACACACGAACTTCTTCTCCCAGACAATCTCCTTGCAGTCCTTGCAATACCATCTCATAGCGTCGACTGCATCTTTAGCCCGCGGTTGTTCCATCACAACACCGACACTGTCCTTGAAGCGCACGGGGCAATGTGGGGTGTTCGCGGGCAGTAAAAAGATCGAGCCTTCATGGATAGGGATATCTTGGAAACTAGGAGGTGTGGTTGAGTTGTCGACTGTTTTCAGGAGCATTGATCCACGGTATTGATAGAAGAACTCTGGTGTTGTGTTTATGTGGAAGTCGGTTCGGGCATTGGGCCCACCCACTATCATCACTGTGTAGCCGGCTGTAGCCGGTGTTGACGGGTGGTATACACAGTAGTTATTGACTGGTGGTTGGAGGAGATGGGAGTTCTCTTCGAGCCTGGATATATGTTAGCAGGTGGCATTGAAATAGCTTGCACCGCATGATGAATCATATCATAGTTATCATAGTATTATAATACTATTATCATAACTATAGTGGGATTGTAAGAAAGTTATATATAGATTCATGGCCTTACCATTTAGGAATATTCAGCGCTGGAGGAAGCATTGTGAAAGATAATAAGATCTGATCTTGGTCAGAGTCTTAAAAATTTTCATCAAAATATCGCCTGTTTAGAAACTTTAGAGATGATCTGATCCCCCGGAGATATCAGTTTCACCCCGGACTTAACAATCGGCCCGGAGTAACATTCCTCCATTAATTTTTCTTTTTCATTATCTCAACAGCCCAGACAAAAAGTGTTTAGAGCAAGTCTTAAAACCACACAAAATGGCGACAACCTCTCAACCACCCCTTCGGTTTACGACCCATCACAATCTGGTATATCGCTTGGTTTTGTCCACCCTCACCGGCCGTACAGTCCACATTTCGCAAATTCGTTCGTCGTCGCCTACGAATCCGGGTCTTGCGCCTCATGAAATTTCTTTCCTTCGTCTCCTAGATGCAATCACCAATGGCTCTCAAATGGAGATTTCATACACCGGAACCGTGCTTGTTTACAAGCCCGGTTTGATTACTGGCAGCACAGCCGGCACTGGAGCCAGCGGCGGCATGATCACCTACGAAATTCCGTCGAACTGTAACCGCGGTCTCAGTTACTTCCTAATCCCACTCTGTCTGTTGGCCCCCTTCGCCAAGGCACCCATGAAGGTGCTCTTCACAGGACCTGGTGTGATCACCTCGTCGACACCGACTGGAGATATGTCCGTCGACAGCGTCCGCACTGCGATCCTCCCTCTGTACAAACAATTCGGTATCTTCAACAATATCGAGCTTCGTATTTTGAGACGCTCAAACACTGGCCCCACCGGCAGGGGTGGTGGTGGTGAAGTGCAACTTGTGTTTGGTCACCAGGTCCGTCTACCGAAGACTCTGCACTTGATGAACGCGGGCCGCATCAAGCGCATCCGTGGTGTTGTATACTCAGTTGGTGTATCCGGCTCAAACAATGCTCGCATGATTGAGACTGCCCGTGGCATCCTCAACCCACTTAGTCCTGATACTTATATCTTCTCCGACGTTGCGTCTGCGCCTTTGGTACCAGCTCCGGATAAGAATAACCCTCAGGCAAAGAAGAAGATCGGTCTTGGATTTGGTCTGTCCTTGGTAGCGGAGTCTTCCACGGGCTGTCTCTTCTCAGCCGATGTGGCCTCTCCACCATCGGGTGGTCAAGCCCCTGAGGAGGTTGGAAAGCAGTGTGCATTCCAGCTCCTGGAGACGGTTGCCAAGGGAGGTTGTGTGGCTCCTGCGGCTGCAACTACCATGTTCACTCTCATGACCATGGGCTCGGAGGATGTTGGACGATTGCAGGTTGGCCGAGATGTGATTGCTGATCCCAACGTGATCCAGCTCGCTCGAGATCTGTCCAAATTCGGTGCCCCCGGCTGGGGTATCCGAGACGCACCTGACAACGGAGATGGAGACGTGATTGTCAGCATTGTCGGCCGTGGAATCGGTAACGTCGGTAGAAAGGTTGCTTAAGCTGCTGTGGATGGCTTTCGCACTTCATTCCAAGTCTACCCACTCTGAGGGCTTAACAATCCGGAAGTCTCGCCTCAGCAGTCCACTCCTTCCCAACAGAACGGGGCCACGTGGTAGTCTATCAGATGCCGTCGGCGTCGCGGGCTTCTGGCCGTCTGTCCAGTGCGCGTCAGTGTACTCTAAAAAGCTCGCGTTCCAAGGCTTGACTGTCGAGCATGAACTCGACCTGTCGCACAGCGACGAAGCCATGGCAAAAGACTGCTTTTTCCATCATGATACCCATACAAAACTTGCAGAGCAAGGTGACATTATATAGGATTCAATAACATTGTCTTCTCTTCTACTATATTTGATATACTTTTATATTGACATAATGGTGACATATCAGGTGCGGTGTATCCTAAGGCAACGCGTATCCTGAGGCCATCGACCCTTTTTTTCATAAATACTCCCTTCCCCCTCAACTTTCCTCTTCTCTTCTTCATCTCCCCTCCCCATCTTCCCATCCCCCCATCCCCCCATCCTTCATCTTTATCCCTTCATCGTTCATCTTTATCTTTATCTTACATCACATCCTTCATCTTCTTTTTCTTCCCCCCCTCCCTCGCCCCTGTCTTTACCATTTTTCGGGTTTTGTGTTGTTTGCCATTTATCCCTCGCCTTCTGCCCACCGGTCCCGGGGTTACCTGGTGCCGTACTGGGAAGTGAAGAGACGGACTTCGTCATCATGTTGGGTTCTGAAATGTCTTCTATCACATCTGTCAATATCTGCCATTTATCTTGCCATTCATTTCATCATTCGGGTTTCTTGTTCACCATTTATCCCCCGCCTTCTGCTCACCGGTCCCGGGGCAACCTGGTGCCGACTGGGAAGTGAAGAGAGGGACTTCATCACCATGTTGGTTCTGCAACGTCTTCTGCCATTTACCCTGCCATTTACCCCAGCGATGGCTCGCACCTCATCGTGGTGCTGGGGTCCAGTAATCCTTTTGGATGAAGCCAAGACGAGCCACACTTTCTTTTTCGCAGCATTGTACCGTGCAGTGTTGACAACTTGAGGTAGGGTTTGATAGTCGCGTGACTTGTTCTTTTTCTATTCTAGTTTTTGTCAAAGAGATTAGTAATTTATTTTGGATTACTAGGTAGTTTATTCGGTAGATGTACGGATTGAAATGAAATGGGTTTCGTTCTAATTCTATGAAATCTAGTAGACGCTAAGCAGATGGAAGATCGGACAAGACATGAGACGATGCAGAAGAGTCCCCACAGGACAAAACAGAGCGCTTGAACGCTTTTGAGTCGAACGAGCAAAAAGCAAACATAAAAGTGAAAATGAAGAAAAAAAAATGAGATGATTGCAGTGTGCAATGAAAGACCGGGGTACGCAAAAGATTATGCAAGAAGCCAAGAAAATGCCAAAAGTAACGAGAATAGAAAAAAAGGACAAGAATTCATCGGTCGGAAGAGCATCTCAATCTGAGGTGTCCTCATCTTTACCAGGATACATAATATCCTGGCGATAGACGGCAAGTATATGATTGACAAACACAAAGAGGAACATGCAGACAATGCAGATAGTCATCGCAGAGCCAACGCCCTTGATCGCCGCACTATCAAACGCATTTCCAAGCGTGATAGTAGCAATAGTAAACCCGGTATTAGGGAAAACCATCGCCCACCAGCTAAGATGGAAGCTCGTGGGCGGCGCCCGAATAACCGCAATAGCAGCGATACAGAAGAACCAAAGACTCAGCGCCCACAAGAATGCACCAGCTGCCAACGCCAGAATCTCAAGCATGCGTCCATCAGCGGCTGTGTCCTCACTCCCCATCACGTTGAATGTCCCAGGCAGTCCCTGCGCCATACCGACCAGAGCAAGAGCCGTGAACGCAGGTGGTCCGACGCAGATGAACATCGCTGGTCGGTGTTCGCGGCAGGGAAGTCCACTCTCCATCAGTCGTCCGATGTAGTGTGAATACATCATGAATGAGATGCAGAAGCCTAGGCCTTGGAAGGTCATTCCGGCGGTGACGATTGGGATTGCTGCGCGCTCTGGCTGGCGTGAGGCGATGACGGAGGCAATCGTGCCGCTTAGCATTATAGGGAATGCGGGCAGGATCCAGGAGGGCATCATTGTTTGGAGGCGGTAGGTGTGTGAGGTGAAGACGAAGGAGTATTGTACGACGGCGAGGGTGAAGGTGCAGAAGCAGTAGATCCAGAAGAGGACTTCGAGGGTTGTTGTGAAGGATGGGGCGGCATTGTCGCCGAAGTATTTCTCCAGTCCGGTGATCATTGTTGCGACAGAGAGCCAGAAGGTTGGGAAGAAGAGACCTTCGCGTTCATGTTGTAGGGAGTTGAGGGCTCCACCGTGGATTATGAATCGTGCTGCCATGAGGGAGCAGACGAGGGAGAAGAGGAAGAGGTTGATTATGTAGATGGCGAGACCGATCTCGCGGCAGCCTTGGAATTTGTTCGGCTGGTTCGCTATGAGGAGGGCTAAGCCTCCTGCGCTCATAGTGAGAGTGTACCATGCCCATGTGAAATGGCGGAGACGTTCACGGAAGCTCAGTGGGTAGTGCTTCTCGCACTTCTCTGAGTTCATGAAGGGTGTATCGGAGTGAGCGGAGGGTGGTGCAGATGGGGGATAAAGCTCTTGACTGTGGTTAGGGTATGCCCCTAATAGAATAGGATTGGACATTGTGTATGTGTGTGTGTGTATAGAAGATGCAATGAGGTATAGATGAAACGCTAACTTGGAACAGGAGAAAAGGAGTATAAAATGAATGTATTCAAGACAGAACTATAGACCGATAGGTCAAATAATCAATGGAAAAGTCAAGTCAAGTCAAAGTTGGAAGAATTGAGGTTATTGGAATGAATGAACTGGGAGAAGGAGCGAAAGGGAGATGTTAATATAGCAGGATGAACAATAAAACAGGCATATCAATTCCATATTCCACAGAAGATCAGCCAAGAATTTCCAAGACTATACGTTTTGATAGTAAAAATATCAAAAAAGGGATTCTATACAACGTACCCCGTAGGCAAGGCAATGAAATCCTTCGTGGACCTACCAGAGGCCTCAACGGGCATGTTAGACCCATAATTCCGTCGAGCCAAGGGAAATCCATAAGAATAGATCGGTCCGGGATGTTGGGCTCGGACGATTCATCATACTCCATATGTATCAGGGGGGTTAATGCCTCTAGGGGTTGGGAAGCACAAAGATCCACAGATCCACAGCGGATATCTGGGCAGCAGGTTAGGCGCATATTGCGGATTCAAAAAACTTCGATGCCTAGGGGATGATGAAGTCAAGGGCGTGGAACTCTGCCAAGAGCATGAAGGAATCATTGGTGCGTTACGCCTTTTCCCTGCGCCGCAACGGATATGTCCTGGTCCTTGAGTGAAAGAGTACCAGTCTGATTGAGAATCTACAAGATATTGTGTCAGTTCGACATCATTATAATTTGACTTGAAAAGACAAGTTACAGAATGTACTCAGAAATGAATCTCAAACCCGAAATTTTTCGGGCCGATGATTTATCTCGCCGAACCTTCTTCCGATAGGAGGATATTAGAGGTATAGAAAAGTCTAAACAGGGATTCCAATGCGCGTTCAACGTGCCTGGACGCCGAATGCCAAGGAGGTTGATCGACAGTACATCGTTGACGGACCGCTGCCAAGCTTTAGCTCAGTAAAGAAGAGGAGGAGATTGGTGTAAATACTAGGTAACACCATTGCGTGGATGCAAGCACAGCGTATAGAATAAGTTCAATATCAATAGAACATGCAGTTTATTGCAGATATGGAAAATACATGAAGATCAAGGAGAAGAAGAGAAGTTTGTGGATTCAAAAACGTTGACGTACACTTGGAATCTCTTGGCGTTTTCCCCTGAACTTCTTATCTTCACAGCCCCCCGTTTAACGACACTATTGACTGGGATTCTCGCCAAGTATCCATTCTGACATGGATGTTTTGTCGATCAGTCGATCTTTCAAGGGGGTTTCAGAATTGCTATTGGGTATTTGTTGGCTTATCTCTAGCCCTGCCCTTGCCAAGATGCCTAGACATTGAGTCTTCTATTCTATGAAATTTATGGAATAGAGGCTATGGAGGCTATGGAGGCTATGAAGACTATGAAGACTATGAAGACTATCGAGGCTATGAAGTCTATGGATTCTGCCTACAAGTACAACAGTACAGAATACTGCAGTAACTCGGATCCCACTGGTCACCTTACCACGACATATAAATAGCAACTTCATTCAAGACCACGGAGAACAAAAGAAAGATAATGCAATGCAGAAACAGAAATAACAAATTCAAATTATGCAACAGAACGCCAAGTCCTTCGAATCATCAGGGCACCAATGCATGAAATAAACAAGTTTATGCAGAAATCAGAAACACAAAGTCTGGGCATATCCTAGATCCAATCACATCATCGCATATCACATCATGCGGTAAACAAGATCAGAGGCCAGCTCTGTCGTCAAGTCCAACAAAGCACGAAGACTTTTAGGAGAAGTGGACGTCTCAACCCGCTCCACCTTCGAATCCACCGGCCGCAAAGACGGTGTTGCCGAAACCGAATCGTCTGCCGAATGATATCGTGCCAATTCCTTCACGTTGCACGCAGCATAGTGTACCACCAGTCGGCGCAACTCATTCTCCCGAAGCTGTGTCGCAGATGTCGGAGAGATCGGCTCCAGACGGGCTGTCTTGGTGTAGGCGTAGTGCACCAGCTCCAATATCATCCGGGCCTTAGTTGCCGCCAAGCCGTCTAGAATTTGAGATTCTTCTTGATCGGCGGTTTCAACCTCTACCGATGACAGGATGAGAAGGTCCCGATGCAGCTTTCGGAGGCAAAGCTGGGCGAGAGCGGGGATTAGGTACCGGGTGGCGAAGACGTAGACTTTCGCATGGAATGTGATGTAGGGAAGGTCGGTACTTGGTGTCTCGACTGGGCTGGGCTTGGAGGTTGCTGGCTCGTCATTGTACTTGAGGGACGTGAACTCATCCCATAGGCTGAGGCCTGGCTCACAGGGCGAGGAGGTTTGGTGTTGGGCGAATGACATGTCCAACATTGGTCTTTGACGGGTTTGCACGCTTCTGTCTTGAGTCCATGAATCTTCCATTGATCCTTCCACGGGTGCAGGTTGCTCTTCTGCAGGCGCAGGCTCTTCGGCTGGCTGTTCCCATGACTCAGTCGGTTCTTGTTCTGGCTCCGGGGTAGGGTCTGCTGGAGCCACCTCTGCAACGGGCTCGGCTTCTGGCTCTGGGATAGGCTCAGCAGCAACCTCTGGGGGTGGTGTCGACGGCGGCGTAAGGCTGACAGGTTCAGCTGGTGCGGGAAGTTCTTCTTCGACCAGTTCTGCTTGCTTCTTGCCCTTCTTCCCTTTCTTCTTTGCCTTCTTCTTGTCTGCCTTGGGTTCTTCTGACTCCCATGACACAGGTTGATCGGTCGCAACTACCCATTCATCCTCGACAGGAGGCACTTCCTCAACTGGTGGCTCCGGTGCAGGCTCCGCTTCATGGTATGTCTCTGGCTCTGGCTCCGGATCTGCTGCAGAGATTGGAGCCTCGGGCTCTGGAGCCGGGGAGGCCTCAGGTTCTGGCGCATATGTTGGAGTTACCGGTTCCTTGACCTCGGCAGGCGCAGGCTCAATCGCGGGCTGAGACACTGGCGGCTCGGGCTCCGGCACAGACTGGTGAGACGCTCCCTGTCCCCGATGGCGATACTGGGGAGGCGGCGACGGGGCCGGGGGTGGCACAGTCGATGCAATTGAACCAGACCGGTAATGCTCTCTCCATGTGGCGGTACTTGGCGAGCTCTCGACTATCCCAACCCTGTGATCTTCCTGAATCTCCGGACGAGGCACCCTATAATCGCCGGTATATGCATACTCGCAAAAAGCGACAAAGGTTTCAACATCGTCTTCTTCCAGAACGGCGATTCGGTGTTTTGATTCCCTCGTCGGGCCGTTCATGAGGTTATGGAGTGGTTTGGAGACATGCTGGGCGAGCCCCGACTGGATTGTCAGCTTCGTATGTCGTGGGCCAACAAGAAAGGTGAATGATGGTGAGTGGATGATACTAGATATGTTGAATTAGCGGTCTGCTAACAGTCTACCTATGCCATGGACTATACACACCTGGTAAAATCCGGGACAGACTCCATGAGAGCTAAGTGATTTCAGAAGATGAAATTAGTTTACGTTCGAAGATGCAGGGTAAGTTCTATTAAATATTTCACCGCGAACTCCCAATGCAGAAGCGATCCTGGGCAAAGATAGTAGTTTGCTACGTGTGCAGCTGTGATGGGGGGCATGAAGACCCATTATGCTAACGCTAGAGCAGATGACTTTTATGAGATATGCAAAATGGGGCCAAAGGAAATTGGTTGTGGTATATGTTCGCCCTACTCTTTATACCCTCGATATCCTAATGGTTTACCCTCAATGCCAATGACCACCCAGTCTATATGAGACCATTTAAATACTATCCTGCTATCACCGAGACAAAAAAACAACGCAGAAGAACCATACAGAGCAGCCATACAGAACAGCTGGCGTTAACTGGATCTTTGACCGTCCAATTGTCGGGTGAGGTTGGCGTCAGCAGGTTTGTGCCCAATCCCCAGCCTCGAGAGAACCCAATCTGTGGCCTCACTGGTTGATTTGTTCCTGAAAGCTCCATCGGTCTTGAATTGGAAGCTTCACTTGTTTTCTATTTTGATTTGTCTCGAACAATTTGAACAATTTGAATGTAGCGGTCAACGGCTGAACAACGATGCCCCAAAAAGGTACCTGTGCCTAATTAGGTATACCGAGGTTGGGTTAACAACGATTAATATGGCATTGACTCCATTCAAAGAAATATTTACAAAAATAGCCATTTCAAACCTTTCAGCTTTCTTTTCCTACAGGTTGAATATATTCCTTGCCCCTCTTTTCCTAAAAACAACCTTACTCAAAAGTAGGAGTATATAATTGACATTCATACAATATTTTTTAAATGTAAAAAAAGAGCAGCGTAGTCTATCCAGATATATCCCAAAATAAATCCAATAATATACACAAATCACCAATCAACTGGTATGCATCAATCGAATCTCCGTATTACCGGGCTCCCACTCCCTCAATCCTTCCCCAACACTATACCAAAACCGCAAACGAATACACTCCATCCTCGCAGCCTCCAAATCCCCTTTATCAAGCGCCTCTCCAAGACTCTCCACACAACTAACAATCCTCTCCTCATTCTCCTTCTTAAGCGCATTGATCTGCGCCTCTGCATCAGCAGACTCCCCAACCTCCTCGATAGTCTCCTGCACCTCCATAACCTCCATTAGTGTCTCCGCATCAAGTGCATGCTTGGTAGACGCGTCTTCAGCTGTCACGTCGATCCCGTGCCATTCCCGTAGAATGTACTGAGCACGCTGCAGCGGGTCCAGAAGTGTCCGGTATGCTTCGTTGATCCGTGCCGAGAGACCCTCGGCTTGCTGCTTCTCTGCTCCGTTGGGGTATTTATCTGGATGGACGAGACCTTGAAGTTGGAGAAATTCTCGGCGGAGATCGCCGGTTGAGATTGCGAATGGGGAGTTCGGTGGTGGGCCTGCTGGTAGTGTTTGAGGGAAGATCGTGTAGTGATTGGTTATATCTGGTGCGCCGGCGAGGGTTGTTTTGCTTGGTTCTGTCGGGGTAGAGGCTTTTGTTGAGGCAGAGCGGCGATATGTTGTCGGTGGCTGGGTCATGAGAGATTGACGTGTTGGGAGGGTTGCTAGGCCTCGCGCTGGCTGGCGATATCGGCAAAGTATGCATGCATTCTGGCCTATGTTTGATAGCGAGTATGTTGGCCGTGAGAGAGGCTGGATTGTTGTGCGACAGAGATGTACAATTCTCTGTGGACGGAAAGCCATGACTATGTAGTGTTTTAACGATGTTATGGTCAAGGGAAGAGCTGTATAACTTCAAAAGTTTACAAGCCCTCGGGCCGCTTTACGTCATCCCCGCATTTGGCACGTGATCAGGAACTATCATCTGGATAATCTAACAGATTTGATTCAATTACAGCCTTGTTCTTTGTGTTGTATGCAATTTCCAATTAGGAGGAATAATGCATTTAATGGTACTATTAACCCAAATCACTCAATCCCCCAAAGTTTCACTGTGCGATCGTGACCGCAGCTAGCAATCCACTTGGCATCATCACTGATATCTGTACTCAGAACGTTACCCGAGTGGCCGCTCAGCGACTTCACGAGGGACCAGTCATCCGCACTGAAAATGTTGACACTCTTATCGAATCCACTGCTCACAAAAAATGTGCCCGATTTCTTGGGCGAGGGGGCCGCTGGTTTATCGGCAGCTGGAGCATCAATGTCCATCCCACCATCTGTAGAAGGCAAGAATGATGCAGCCTCTGCACCCTTGTACCAGCGGACATCCGAGATCACGCTCTTATGCGCACCAATGCCGCCCGGCTCCTTATTGTTCCGCATATCCCAGCATTTGACCCAGCCATCACCGGAACCAGAGAGCACCCGGTAACCATCAACACCCCAGTCCATAGCGTAGATCTCACGAATGTGGCCCTGGAGGAGCATCACGTTTTTTCCTGTCCGCAGATCCCAGATACGTCCGATGCTGTCGAATCCACCAGTAGCCACAAGAGAGCCATCGCTGTTGAATGACACTGCATATACCTCTCGTGAATGGCCTTCTTGTAGGAGCAGCTCAGTTGCCCTTTCGATATCCCACAGCCGCCATGAGTTGTCGAAGGATGCCGATGCTGCATATCGACCTGAAGGGTGGAACTCGGTACGGCATACACGGGCCGTGTGGCCAGACAACGTAGCCAGTGGCTTTTCTTGATCAAGGGCCCAGAGATTGAGATCTCCTTCGCCGCCTCCGGAGATCAAATTCACAGTCGAGGGTGAGACATTTGAGCTTGGTAGGGTGGCACCGGGGAACCATGACAATCCACCCACTCGATCTGTATGCCCCTTGAAAGTCACTTTTTCTTCCAAATCGGGCACACCGAGCAATTTGATCTCGCCGCTCCAGTTTCCAGCAGCGAGTGTCTGCCCATCTGGCGCGAATCGACAAATGCTAACCGGACGATCACCAGCAATCTGAGATCCGTAAAGATCGAATCCTCGTAGCTTCTCCTTGACAGCTTTGCGATGCTTGACATGCGTTCGAAGTGTAATAGTTGATTCGTCCTTGAGCCGAGCGATTCGAGCCTTTGCGCGCGGCAAGGAGTAGCACGCAATATCTTTCCGCGCCTCGAGTAAATCGGGCCCACCATCTGTGTAGAATTCTTCTTGTGGTTCCTCTCCCTCCTCCCCTTCTTCTTCCATCTCTACCTCGACTCCGCCTTGTGTCTCCGCCATGTCGGTCAACAGTTCACGTAGACGATCGCGTCGCTCTGCAGGTCCTTCACCGAATAGCGTAATAGGTTCCCCGAGCTCTCGTAGTCGTGCGCGCACTCGTGTATCATCTGTTGGAACCACCATGGCTGCTGCTCTCCGTTTCCGTTCGAATTGCGATATAATGGCGGAGGCTCGCTCGGTTGGGATACCCCCTGGGGCAGAGGGCATATCGTAGTCTTGGTCCATAGCTATAGGTTGATTAGCAGGTTTCAAGTGAAGGCTATTCAATAACGCCTCACGAAGGTCGGCATAGCTGATGCCCATATCTGTGTCCTCCGTCTCCTCGACATAAGCCTGACGCGATGGGTGCATCATTTTGGGCAAGTAGAAGCTTGTGCTTTAGTAGCTCAAAAGGTAAATTATTAAAGCTTCAGGCTTGGGGGTGAAAGAAAATTAATTGGGGTATCGCGTGAAGAGAAAACAAAAAGGTTGGTGGGAGAAGCTGCGGCAGAATTGATAGAGGTTGGCGGTAGATCATTCAAAAGCATACAATTTGGGATTTGATACAATTCTGAATGTATGGATTTAATTACATGTTAGAAGAATATTTAAACTCATTCATTTTCTCTTTTTCTTTCTACATCAAAGTCCAACCTCAATAACTAGTTAGTTAGTTAACTAACTTACAGTTTTGGATATTTCTGCCTGAGAAATCAGGTATCAACGAAAAATCAATGACGCCAGGCGGTCGGGCGATAAGAGTCTTATCCGTTGAGATTCATGCAGCTCCTTGATCTTTAGGATTTTTATTTCTTTTCTTTATACCTCTTTTTTACTATATTCATCCCCTCAGATTATAAATTCTCCGTGAGGGAGATATACATAATCCGCCAGACTTGCGATGATCCCGCCAAGTCTTTCATGTAGAGCCTGCAGTTCCACCTGCAGTAGCCTACAAGCCATCGTTCGAGACGGCGTCTATTCAATCTCCACCAATCCGAACACATACACACCCTCACTGTTCAAAAGACAAGATGTCCGCTTCTCGTCCCATACAACCAGAGTCAGATTAGACACCCGTCTAAGCCTGAACCTAACCCACCAACCCTCCCGCCGAGCCTTCCACGCAACCCCAACAACTAACTTCGAAAAACCCCCAAAACTCTCCTACCGTGTTGCCGTCTCCTCCTCCGGCAAAGGCCGCCGTTTCCACCCCATCAAAAATGCATACAACTTCGACCCCAATGGAGACGCCCTAGGCGTATCAAAGGACAAGAACTCTGTCAGCCGTCGTCGCAACCGCCCAGACTCAGGCGAAGACGCCTTCTTTGTTTCCCGCATCGGAAATCGCATCTCAGACCACCAAGACACAAATGCCGAAGCTGTCGCTTTCGGCGTCGCAGACGGCGTAGGTGGCTGGACAGAATCCCGTGTCGACCCTGCGGACTTCTCACATGGCTTGTGTAACTACATGGCGCAAACCGCGCAGACTTGGCACGAGCCCGCTGAGCGCTTGCGTCCTAAATACCTCCTGCAGGCCGGATATGACCAGGTCGTGGCAGACTCGACAATTCGCGCAGGTGGGAGTACGGCGTCTGTTGGCGTGGCATTGCCAGATGGACGGGTCGAATTGGCAAATTTGGGTGATTCCGGCTCGGTGTTGTTGAGGAAGGCTGCGGTGCATCATTACTCGGTTCCGCAGACGCATGGCTTCAACACCCCATATCAGCTTAGCGTGATCCCACCACGTATGCGCGCCCAGGCGTCTGTCTTTGGCGGGGCGTTCTTGGAGGATTTCCCTCGTGATGCGTCTGTTACCAATGTGCAGATGCAGCACGGGGATGTGCTCATCATCGCCACCGATGGTGTTTTTGACAATCTCAATAATCAGGATATCCTCAAGCTCGTCACGAGTCGTATGGTTATGACCGGGGCGTGGACAGCTACGGAGTCTGGCGTTGGGGTCTCGGAGAATCTGCGTGCACTGGCTGCGCCGGGTGGATTGGTTGATGCTCTTCCCACTCCGACGGGGTCACCGCTTTCCAAGGACCCGGCTAGTACCGAGTCTGGACCTGACAATAGGGTCACGTTGCAGTCTATTCTCGCAGCGGCGATTGCTGGCGAAGCGAAAATTGCTAGTCTCGATTATCGCCGTGATGGGCCCTTTGCTAAGGAGGCTCAACGCTACTACCCTGGGGACTATTACCGCGGTGGGAAAGTTGATGATATATGCGTTGTGGTAGTCATCGCTGTCGATGATAGCGTTGCAGATCTTGCCTGATTTAGACATATCTGGAGATTTACTGGCGTCACTGTGATTTTCCTTTCTGATGTATAACTGCATGCATATATATAGAAGGCGTGGGGATTTTTTTTTTTTTGATTTTGCATAAGGATTATATGCTTTTCCCTTACCTTAACGATATTCAAATAGAGATTTTATAGAGATAACCCCCAATGCATGGATTTCAATTTTCTAGACATTTTATTAGTTACATTCTATCATTTACTGATTTCCTGATTTACTAATTTACTAATTTACTGAACAGCCATTATGGATCCTTGTATTCAAGAGCTCAATACATGCAGAGAAGACATAGCATCTCCATTACCCTTGGGGACCTTTCTGTTCATTTCCATGTCATAACGCATCCAATACTCTCCCAATTCGATGACCAGCAAATGGTCAAGAACTTGGAATGATCCAGCTAACTCCTATGCTCCATAGCCAGAACACAGATTGTGCAGAAGCTTTTTAAAAAAAGAGATCACATTTTCAATTGATTCAAAAAAGCCTTGCTGGTTGGTCCAGCCCCGTATCCCAGTATTGCATTGGCAGGTGACAAAAAGGAGAAAAAAAAAAGGAAACAAACCGGCAGAACCGCGTAGATTGAAACAGAGACAAAGAAGAGAACATAAATGAGAGCGCGAGGACAAAAAAGACATCGCAGAGTCGTGATTCTTAGACCACTTAAGCGGCAGCCTCGGCAGCCTCGGCGGACTTCTCCTTAGTGGGCTCCTCAACTGCCTTCTCCTCGGGCTTTTCCTCAGTCTCAGGTTCGGGGGCCTTCTCATCGGCGTCAGGCATTGGAGAATCAACGTCTTTAGTCGACTTGGACTCGGGCTCTTTTTCCTCTTCTGTCTCCAACTTGGGGGTTTCGACGCCATCCTCCTCCTTGGAGCCGTTAACGGCGGGCTTTTCCTCCTTGTCCGCTGGGCCGGGAGTGTCTGCGTCCAAGATGTTCTTCCAGCTAGACAAAATGTTCATGGCACGGTGACGGAAGTTGAACTCCTCATCTCGGGGAATAGAGTTGAGCTTGACAATCATCTTAAGGACCTTGTTAATCTTGGTAGATCGGATGATCGACACCTCCAAGTCCGAGTGCTTCTCCAACTTGTCAAAGTAGGTAGCCATGCTAGCCATTTCATCTTCCTTTGGAGGTTGGTCACGGGAGATGAAACCCTTCTGGAGCTTGTGACGGAGGAACAAAACTGTAAGGTATAAGCCGGCCTGTTCGGACTCTTCGGGGGTGAAGGGGGATTGCGTACTCTCTTTTTCCTTTTTCTTTCTCAGTTCCTCTGGGTCAATCGGTTTCTCGGATTCCTTAGCATCGGCACTGTCTCCTTCCTCGCTAGCAGCGGGAACAGCCTTGCCCTTTTTAGCGGGTGCCTTCTTGGTCTTGCTGGCCGGGGTTTTCTTTTCCTCGGTGGGAGCCTTGGGGGTGGTCAGCTTCAGCTTTGTGCTGGACTTGGGAGTCTTAGCGGGCTATAATTTTGTGAGATGAGCGAGATCAACATCAAAACGATCTGTAACACATACCTTTTCAGCTTCAGCATCGGTGTCAACATCCTTCTTGCGCTTCTTCGAAGGAGCCTTGGATTTCTTGGAGTCATCCGCATCCTCCATTTCAACGTCAGTCTCGGCACCCTTACTCTTGCGCTTGCCCTTCTTGGCCTCCTTTGCGGCCTTGGCAGCTGCCTTCTCCGCCTCCTGCGCTTCGAACTCAGCCTCTTCCTGGTCAATAGCTGCCTGGTGGTCGTTCAGGAGCTTCTTGAAGTACTGAAGGTTGTGGCCCTCGGATGCAACCTTGTAGGCATTGATGAGTGATTTGGTTTTATTTTTCTCGGAGATGTCTTTGCACTCGGCAGGATCTAGGGGGGTCAGGTTGGTGTTGGGAACCCAGGCGCTGTCAAAAAAAAATAGTCAGTAGAAAGTTCGCATCTGGCGTAGTGGCTGCGCGGATGTTGACTCACAATTCATTGGTCTCGAAGAACATGACGGGGAAGGTACGTTCATGAGCGCGTCTGCCATCGTCGCCATATTCGCCTTTGTAGGATCCATCCTTTTGCATGGCGGTAACGGGCCGAGTTTCGAGAAGGCTGGGAGGCAGAATGTCCTCGTCACAGATGATAGCAGGCCAGGGCGCATAGCTGCGCAAGCGAGCAAGGTAAGTCTGGCCCGGCTTAGCGTCTAGGTGGGTGATGCGACTCTGGGACTTCTTGCGGCTCAGCTTCTGGGTGGCACCGGTGGAGGTGCGGCGGTTCTTGGATGACTTCTTTGCCGAAGCAGGGGTTCCGTTGGGCTCCGCGGGCGCAGCCTCCGCATCGGCAGGTACAGCTTCAGCGGTTTCGCCATCGGCCTTGGCCTCAGGAGCCTCATCAGTGGAAGCAGTCTTATCAGCTTCAGCTTGAGCGCCCGTCTTGTCGGTCACAGCTTCTGTCTCTGGAAGAAACAGTGGGTTAGTGTCGCACAGAAACAGGATGAGCGCTGAGGATTGGAGGCGCAAAATGATGAATTGATATCAATCCATGCTTACCGGCAGGCTTGTCTTCGGACACAGTCACATCCTCAGACTTGGAGTCAGTGGGATTCTCAGCCACGCGCTCGGGCTGATCACCCTCGGGCGCAGAGACAGGGGTATCGTCAGCCATAATGGCAAGCTGGGATGAGATAAGTTAAAATTCACTAAACGATTGGTAGATTGAAGCTGGGATAGGTGGGAGGAGCTTCCAGGGGATGGTAGGAGGAGATGTGGAGAAGAAAGAGAGTCGCGAAAGGCGCGGGAACTTCAAGACGCGTCTGAGAACGGAAACCCCAATGACGCCACACCTTTTTCTTTCCACAACAAGAGGAATAATGGAGATTGTTTTTTTTTTCAAGTTTGAACTGATATTTGGAGGAGAGGCACAATGCATACAGGTATCTCTGAATACTTACCTGGAGTTAGTCTATGGTTCTTGAGGTATGGGGAACACACAATGTTCATGGAGCTAGCCAACTCCTAATAAGGGAAGTGTCGCCTGGATTGGACTGCCTTGGATCTGGGATTTGCCTCGCAGATGGACTTCGACCTAAAGCGAAGGAACGACCATTGTTCTTGTTGGTCGTTGTGATCAGATGTCTCTGATACCTCACAGGTTTGCAGAGAGCCCATAGACCCATCTCTTGCTCTATACCTTCACAATCACCGTATACCCACGGTTCAAAGGTGATTGGTGATTGGTATGTGAATTTGTTTCTCTTCGAAGATCCAGTCTCTCATGGTATTATGGTATACATGGTATATGATATCACAAACCGCCAAGAGAACTTGTATACCTCGACGATATTCAGGGCACGTGCGAGTGTACCTGACATTCGTTAGATTCTTTTGTAAATGCAAAGACAAGAAAAAATGATGTCCTTTTTTTCCCCCCATAGACCCTGAGCTTGTGATATTCACCTTCAGTTGCAAGTCACAATTCACCAAGTGATCAAGACGATTTAGACCAAGGTTGACCAATAGACCCACGGAATGTATTGAATGCTTCTGCAGGGTGAGGTGCAATCGCCTGTGGGCATAAAACCAAGGGTCTAGGAAGCTTTTAACTGTCTCACGTTCTTAATTCAAAGTCGATGTCGATGTTACCAGGCGACCTCGTCATATTGTCATATTGCAATACGTTTAACACATATTTTGAGCTGAGGGGCGGTAATACGAAGGAGAAATGAATTAAAATCCAGTTGATTTCTTGCTAAACGCATCCAAACTTCTGTAAGCGCAACCCCCCCCCCCCCACCAACCTTGAAAGATGATATCTACTTTCTTCCCTAAGAGAATTTTTCTAGCTTTTTATATTTTAGATCTGAAAGAATATATGAAGTTTGCGTAATGCCTATGTCTTTGTACGAGCCTTTGGACCCTTTCAGCTCTGATAAAAGAATATTTCTTCCATAAATATATTGGCTTAGGTACAAGGGCAAAAGGGTATGGGTTGAGAGGTAACAATAGGTTCATATACACAAATCATATACCAGAGCAAGTCTGGCTGGGCTTCATACAGGGTATCAAGTTCTAAACGCTGAATCCAAAGTCGAAAGGTCAACACTTGGTAAGTGGAGTGGATTCACATACCAGGATCCAAAGTACTTTCACTAGGGTAGTCCTTGACATCAAGGAGTGACGGCTCCGGTTTATGAATCCGGACAAGGCAAAGGAAGTAGTCTTCCAGTGGCAGCAGGTTGAGCAATACCCTATTAAAATACCATCCCAAGGCACATACCACAGCTCCCGCGATAGCATCCAGAATGAAATGATTGGCTGTGGCAACAATAGCCACAAGGATGGTAAACGGGTATAGGAAGCCGAGTATGACACAAACAAGGCGGCGCCACGATGGGAGGCTCAACCTTAGGGCACGGGTCAACCTAGTACGCAGGATTGTGCGCCGGTGGTGCTGTGGTAGTGGGATTGTTATCAATGTGAGGCCGATCATTAAAGAGTATCCGAAATGCAAGGAAGGCATCGCCGCTTGGGAAGAGTCAGCCAAGGATCCATGAGATTTGGGACAACGCTGACCATATTGATTACAGAAGCGGTTTTCTGTCCAAACACTGCCCGATCCATTAACACCATGCACCGTGTCAACGAACCCATAACTGCGGGCTAGATCCGCATCTTGGCCATCGGCGGTTGTATCACTCAGCAATCGAGGTGGCATGCAAGGCCAAAGAGTGAAAACCACAAATGCGAGAAGATTGCACACGGCCAAAGTCCGCCGGCGTGCCTGGTATAGAAGTGGACCTGCTGGTGACCCGCTCACAGCACCCTTGAGTTTTCCAGGCTGGGCCTCATCGATCCGATTCCGCACGGTAGTATAGTAATAGAGCCAGACGAGAAACGCGATTGTTCCAGGAATGTGTATGAAGGAGTATATCCAATTGATCCAAGACATGACAAGGGGTTGTCGGAGAAAGTGTCTTTGAATCAAGGTCTCCCAGAACATACCCAGATTCTCTTCAATCACGATTAGTTGCAATGCATGTCTCCTCGCGACATCGACGGTATCATCCTTAAGAGTCACGGCGGTAAAAGCACGACCAAGCTGGTATGTCTGCATATGTGAGCTTCTTGCCTCTTCAATACATAGAATCATATATAGATCGGATAGCCTACCCAGTAAACCAAAGCCCAATACCAACACTCCACCAAGAAAGGGAACTTCTGAAGCAATCGACTGAGGAAGCGGTCTTGGAACACGATAGTATTCGGCGAGGACACCTCAAAAGTCAACCCCAGGAGTCCAACCTGTCGCTTGTGCCATCGATCTTCCGCTTGTGGTGAGTAGGACCGAGAGCGCAGCAGGCTATCCTTTGACGATTGGCTTGAGTATCCCGACTCCAAAGAATCAGATGAGGCTCTCCGAAGATTTGAATTCCGTCGGGTGTACCGAGTCGAGGATGATTCAATAGAGCGGTTAATCCAGGTACCTCCAAACAAGAGAACGATAACCACCAAAGGCTCTATTACCACTCCAGCTCCCATTATGGGTATCAAAAGGAGCCAATACTCCGTGTTTCAAAGGGAAAATGATAGAAAAAGCCTTTTAAAGAAGTACTTTAAGAATGCACATGTGAGGATGAATATGTAGATACCTGGGAAATTTAATAAATCAGAGAAATATCTCCAAGGTAGGTGCTGGACATCTGCACCTGAGCAGGCAAGGGCGGATACCAGCGGAATCAACTGCATAAAATCATGTTTACTTTCTATACTTCAACTAATACTATACTTATGCTCAGAATACATGTGATCTCTTACCTTATTGGCAATGCCCGAGGCATAATTCGAACTAGTATGTTGTATATAGTACATAAGTTATACAAGCGGATCTATAAAAAACATGTATACAGTACTTCGGGATCTTACTCGCCGATCCGAATACAAAACCCCTTGGGGAGTTTCCGGTATCCGAGTGGGCGCTAGTCCTAGTATAGTATTATGTGTACCTACCCTAGATACCTACCTAGGTACTATACTTCTTCTTCTTATAGTTCCTTAATATATTCCGAGGTACCTTTGGATGTTAAAAAGTGATGCAATAACTACGTATGCAACAGATATTGACAATGAAGTGTATTTGACGTCAACCCCTTCTCCTCTACATAATTTAGATGCGACTACTAGATCGAACCTCAAAAAACTTCAACCATTACCTAGATATGCTGTTTGTTAACCCACTTACGAAGCGTCTAGTTAGCCGCACCTCACAGGTGGCCACAGCTTTGTCGACATCTAGGCACTTTTCTGTCACGCCGAACATATATCAAGGAGTCACTCTTCTGCGAGACAAGCAAAATGGCTTTGGTTTCGCGCGGTCAAACCCTAGACCAGCTAAGCCCAGAACGAGGGGAGTCACTGAGATCCGAGGCCCATATTACTCAGTAGGTGCCATATCATCCTGTCAGCATTTTCCGTAATCTAACCTAAACCAGGTCATGGGCAAAAGATATCTCGCAGATATCCTCGAGACGTAATACTCCGTAATAAACCAACCCCCCCAAAAAATGGTATCTAACAACAGGTTGATAGGATGGGCGACCATGTAGATGGTCTCAAGTTTGCTGGAGGTGAGTCTCAACAGGGCTTCAGTTCTCGTCAAGAAACCACAAGTGCTGAGATAAACCAGGTTCATTTTCTCTCTTTCACGAAAAATCACTGCGGGAAGTAGTTGATCTTGCCCATGAGCACGGCGTGTATATCTCAACGGTAAGACTGTATTGGATCTGCACATTAGCACATCTGGAAGCATACTCTTAACACTAGGTTCCACGTTTTAGGGTGGATGGGCGGAGCATCTCCTCACACACCCCAATCCAAATACGGTATTTGACCGCTACTTGGAGAAATGCAAGGATCTCGGGTACGTACATCCCCAACTCAAGGCCCAGAAGCCTGGAATGCAAAATCTGACTATTCAACACAGACTTGATGTCATTGAACTGTCTTCAGGTTTTCTGTCAATTCCAGAGGATGACTGGCTCCGTCTTATCGATAAAGTCCACTCGTACAAGTTGGAGCCAAAGCCTGAATTGGGAATTCAATTCGGAGCCGGCGGAGACACACCTGCCTCGGGGCTTGAAGCAATTGGGACCTCTGATCCTGGAAAATTGGTAAATCTGGGTCGTAAATTTCTCGATGCTGGTGTGAAACGGTTGATGATTGAGTCGGAAGGCATCACTGAAAATGTTAAATCCTGGCGGACTGATGTGGTGTCGAAGATCATGAAGGAGCTTCCTCCTGAGCGTGTCATGTTTGAAGCTGCAGATCCCAAGGTTTTCAATTGGTACATCCGTGAATTTGGTATTGACGTCAACCTATTTGTGGATCACAGCCAGATTGTGCAGCTAGAATGTCTGCGGTCTGGCATCTGGGGCACGGCCGACACTTGGGGCAAGATAGTGTCGTTCCGGCAATGAAGATCGAGAAAATATGGACTTGAAGCACATGTATTCTTGTCATCGATGTATTCATCCAAAATTTTGAACCAAAGTCCATTCGTCTGCAGCTCTGGAGATATATGCACGGGTGCCCGCCCGATAAACCCGCTTAGTCACGTAGTGGAGTCCGGGGCATACAAACGCCCGCACTTAATCATCATGATATTTAACATTTAACCTCAGCAATGACTTGAATCAGCCCAAATAGCTCCCGGCTTAATCGGTTTAGATACATCACGCCTCAATGACTACTGAAATTCCGGACGAGTGACCCGACCTATTCACCAAACGCGAGCGCATCAGAATGCCCCGGGCCAGCACTACCCCGGGAGCACGGCTCCGATGCCGACGAGCCTGCGACAGCTGTAAAAGGCGGAAACAGAAATGCAACGGCGAGCAGCCATGTACAATCTGCGTTCAGAGGCACAAGGAGTCAGAATGCCATTTCTCGGATCGGCCCGCACGCCTACTCAAGCCAGACCCTAAGGACTCGACAATATTGCTCAGCGAGCGCGTGATAGCATCTCCGCAGCGGGAAACAGCAATGGACCGCCTTTTAAACTCCATTGAAGATCAAGGAATGAATATGGAACGTCAGGGAAAAGATGAGAAGGAAGGGACGGCTCCCGTGCCAAAAGTGGCGCGGCTTCTACGCGATGGTCAGGGAAAGTTTATGTATATTGGTGATTCGGCAAGTTTGTCGTTTTTACAGAGTCTGCGCCGTGTTGTTACGTCTTCCATTGGCCGGTGTGAGTTCACCGAGGACAACTCACGACACTCAATGCTCGAGGCCTTCCAGAGCAACCCAAGCACTCAGCCCGGAGCTCTAGTTACGCCACCAAGTAACGACGATGCCCAAAAATTAGCTTGTCAGTTCGTGCTTGCTACAAGCCCATTGCTTGACTTATTTGATCTGGAAGAGTTCCACTCACGGCTAGCTAATTGGGTTGCAAATCCAACAGGTGACGAAGATACCGTTAGCTCTATCTTCTATCTTGTCCTTGCCATCGGAGCTCAGGTCTCCGATATTGATCAGACAGTAGCTGAACAATATTTTGGCAGCGGTCGTCAATTGGCGTTCTCGGCCTTTCAGGAAACTCCAAGCATACACACCATTCAATCATACATTTTGGTTTCCATGTATATGCTCGGCGCATGCAGGCGCAACGGTGCATTTATGAACCTGGGGGTTGCCCTGCGTGCGGCCTACGCGGTAGGAATCCACCGCAAGGATGCAAACGCTCTATTTTGTGGGCGTGAGCGCCGAGCCAGGGAGCGAGTCTGGAAGAGTCTTCGAATGATGGATCTATTCCTCAGCGCCTCCCTAGGACGCCCTCCCGCAACTTCAGACTATGATTACGACATTCGTGAGGATACTCCTATACCAGGAAAATCACAGTCACATTTGGCCGCAGATCAACAGCTTTCTATTGCGGTGATTTCGCTTTGTCGAATATTCGAGCGAATTTTGACAGATGTGTACATGAAGCAAGTCATATCGATAAATGTTGCAGAGAAGATATCCAACCAACATCGGGCATGGGTTCGCACTCTGCCAGCAATGCTCAAAATGCAGACTGAGCGGCCCGAAAACAAATCCATGGAGAACAGCCTAGCTGCAGCTCATGTGTTTGGGTCATACTACTGGTCGATCATCCTATTGACACGGCCATTCCTCATATACCGTGTCGCCCAGTACGTCAAAGGGAAACCCGACTCATCCTCTGAAAATCGAAGCGGTAGCTCCCGAGTATCCTTGTTTGCCGATGCATGTGTCTATTCCGCACTCCGAGGTCTAGACGTGGTCGATAATCTCAGCCATTATACCTCCCTTCCACGTCGACTACCCTTCTTGATCAACTCCGTTTTTAACTCTGTCATCGTCCTCGGCGCTGCATTCTTTGCCGACTACGATAGTCTCCTCCCCCTAGAAGAAGGAATGAACAAAGCCGAACGGTTCCTAGGGCTATTTGTCCCGCACGATCCACATGCATGCCGATTTTTCCAGATCATCAAATACCTCCGCGCTGCTGTAACCGAATACGTTTCCCGGCGAAATCGACAATGGATGGATAGACGCAGCAAACAAGTCGACCAGCTCTTCGGTCAAGTTGGCGGTGACGAGGATCGCAACTCCCCAGGGGCTCCACCTTTCACTGGCCCAAGTGATAGTCACCATTCTGCATCTGCAACTGCAACTGCATTATCCCCTGCTTCCGACAAATTGCCCCTTGGGACTCCATCCTCTTACATTCCCTCCCAACTACCCCCTCAATCCCAATTTTCAACCGACAACGATGTTTGGGAAGCCCTGTGCAATGGCTCAGACCCTACTGCGGCTCTGTCCTACGACGCAGCCATTTCTGCGTTAACCACCTCTGGGATCCCAGTTGGCTGCTCCCCCGGTGGAACTATTCCCTCTGGTCCACCTGCGGTGTCCGGTCCATCTCCGCTTTCTGACGTGATGTTCCCGGATAATGGTCTGTTGTATATGGCTGAGGATCTTCCGGTCTTTGGCATCTGGGGGGATGAGCCGTGATTACCCAGTGGAGAACAAGTTATGTTTCAATGGTTAAATATGTGATGAAATGGTGTTCTGGTGGAGATCTGGTGTATTCCAAGGTTGGGAAGTTTATGATGTGATGACCCCTTGTAATTCTTTGTCCGTATAATTGGACGTGTTCATTTTTATATATATACCCCCAAGGACGAATTGATTTCTTAACATGGTATATCCCTGTAGAACAGAATGTGCGTGGCATAGGTCATTTTTTTAAGCGCCCAAATGACTAAATAGGGAAGAGTGTGCATATCCATACTACACACACAATATCTATATCTTAGGCCCCTATTTTAGGCTATTTACAACTTCTTTCAATCTAATTATTTTTTTTATCTAGTTTTCTCTCCTTGTCATGGTATCAGTTATCCACTTGGTGATCTTTGCGATCATTCTAGGTCTAACTGTGATGCTACGGACTTATAAAAATAAATCCAATCTAACTCCAGGACCAACAGGCAAATTCCTGATTGGCAATTGGCTTGACCTTCCCTCACCAGGAATACAGGAATGGCTGCATTGGTTGAAGCACAAGGAGCTCTATGGTATTGTCTCATCCAGTTCTGGATTGACAAATACTGAGCCTCACAGGTCCCATTAGCTCGATTACTGTCCTGGGCAAGACTCTCATTATCATCAATGATCGAGATCTAGCATTCCAAATCTTAGAAAAAAAACTCGGCAAAGCATTCTTCGCGACCGCACCTCGTCTTTGCCCATGATCTGTAAGTTTGAGTTCCCAGTATCTTTGATATATTTTTAGATTAAATGAAATCAAAAGAGCTGGATGGGGTCAGTTACCACCAAGTCAAGATAATACGCCGCTTCTTCGATCCTATCGTCGCGCAATTACCAGGGTTATCGGAACGAGAGAATCTGCGGCTAAATTCAATGGGCTGCTCGAATTAGAGGCACGACGGTTTGTATGTCGTGTGCTGCACACGCCAGAGAAGTTCATGGATCATAACAGGACGTGTGTATTCGGTATCTTTGGGGAATCTTTACTTACTTGGATATAGCGCTGCTGGTGCTTTTATCTTGAATGTTACATACGGCTATCAAGTTGAGCCTAGAGGTGAAGACCCTTTGGTACAACTAGCTAATCATGGGTTGTGCCAGTTCGCTGAGGCCACCGTGCCAGGAGCCTGGCTGGTTGATCTCATTCCGGCTCGTACGTTTCTTCCTATATCTCCAAGGATTGATTGCTAAACTCACTATACAGTGAAATATATCCCAGAATGGATGCCCGGGGCGAATTTCCAGAAAGTCGCCAAAGAACACCTTCAAACTATCACGAGAATTGCAGAGGGTCCGATTGCATTCACCAAGTTCCAAATGGACCGGGGCAAAGATAGACCGTGTTTTGTTTCGACGCTTCTCCGACAAGGCGTAGATGAAGAAATCGTCAAATGGTCAGCGGTGGCAATGTACGGCGGTGGATCAGATACGGTATGTTCCTAACACTCATATGCATTTCTTTCTACTCATTCATACTAGACTACTGGAGTTTTAGATGGGTTCTTTCTGGGAATGATGCTATTCCCAGATGTTCAACGCAGAGCCCAAGCTGAAATGGATGAGCTGTTCGGCAAACCAACTATACCATCAGCGGCTGATCGAGCAAGGCTGCCCTACGTGAATGCTATCGTCAAGGAAGCTATCAGATGGCACACTGTCACCCCCATGGGCATTCCTCACAAAACGGACGAAGATGATATCATAAATGGCTACTTGATTCCTAAAAATGCCATCATTCTACCTAACATATGGTATTTTCATTCATATTTCTGTCCCATTTTTTGCTGTGTTAACGTATATCTTAGGTCCTTCAACAATGATCCGGCGATATATCCTAACCCCCGGGATTTCCGCCCCGAACGGTTCCTTTCCGACCCAATTGCTGAGCCGAGAGATGTGAGCTTCGGTTTCGGTCGAAGAATTTGCCCTGGGCGTTTAATTGCTGAAACTTCAGTGTTTCTCATGATTGCACACACGCTCGCCGTCTTCAATATCAAAAAGCCCATTGAAGATGGTAAGGAAATCGAGCCTACTGTCCATTGCACATCAGGTCTTTTAAGCCACTTCGAACCTTTTAATGCAGTTCTTACTCCACGAAGTGAGAAGCACAAACAACTTTTAGTGGATTTTGAGAAATCACATCCTTTTGAAATGGGTGATTCTGATGTCTTGGCAGATGCCTATCATTTAAGGGGAGAATAGGGGGGGTGTGCTCTAGACTTTACCCCATACACACACTATCTTATAAGCATCTACTCCGTAGTGCTTTTATTATTGCATTCCTTCTTTCTTTCTTTTTTTTGAAAATATCTGTAGTATGCCGGGAGTTCCATCCAGTAGAGGATGCGAGTCTTGTCGAAAATCGAAAAAGAAGGTCTGTGCCTTTTAACTCCCCCATGGAGATATATATTGCTGAAGAACATAGTGTGATGAACGACAACCCTGTTCACGATGTCTTCGAATGGAGATATCCTGTGAAGGAAGTGGAAAACAACGTTATCAATTCAAATCTGTCAAATTGACATCCAAGACAATTCGAGTCTCAAAGTTCAATTCCATTTCTCAAGCCCCTTACAATCAACTAGCCAGTCGATTCATCAAAACACTTGATATTAGCGATATTCGCTTTGATATCTCGTTTTATGGCCTCTTTCTTAAAGATATTCCCAGACGTCTTGGAGAAAGTGCTGCATTGGATGCGGCCGCGCAGGCTTTGGTCTCTTCGTATCCCCTTCTTCATCCTCTTCGTGGTAGAGAAGTTCCCCGTGATGCGTTGATACTTTTTGGAAAATCGTTGAGGGTATTACGGGAATGTCTGGATAATCCAGTGGAGATTCGATCACCACATACCCTCTGTGCTATTTATCTCATCTCAATCTGTCAGGTAATGATATTATCCAAAAACATCTCTCTGTCTTCAATGCTAATGATTTTAGGATTGGCTTGGAAACGAAAAACAATCAACCAACCATGGGACAGCCATCGCACATTTACTTAGGATTGTAGATGTCTCCAGATATAAAAGTGGATTCGAAAGAGACTTGATCGTCACGTTGAGTGTACCGGTGGTATGTGAGACACTTTCCAACCTCCCTTACTTCACTAATCCTATCAGATCCTGGATGGAATATGCAATCCTCGGGTACAGATGGATCCAAGTTTCTGGGACGACGTGATGACCCTCATCCAGCAAGGCTCCACGGCCCCTGATAGTATTCCACGACCAACCACAACTCTACTGTCGCTTTCAAAGTTTCCAAAATACCTCCATCACCCGCACTCTCATCTTCCCGAGATCTTCGAAGCATATATGAAACTCCGAGAAGATGTACAGAACATCTACCCATATCTAGACCAGGTCACTGAATCAGCTGGCCTGTCCTCCCCAGTCCTTGGTCAACGCTCGCGCCATCGGGCAGCATACACCGTGGTCATTGCGTTAGCACTACTTCTAAATACCATTCTCCGTGCACTGGATTCAGAAAACCTCATGCTCACCCAGGAGTCGACCTTCTTCTGTGAGCAAATTATCAACGAGGCTGAGTCGGCTTCCCGCTACCGTCCGCTTGGTGCTGCTTATGTTGTACCATGTCTGGTGGTTGCCTTGGGTTCTGCAGAAGATCCACGGCAGTTGGCCCGTATCGAGGCCACATTGATCGATTACCAGACTGACTTTCGGGGATTTGAATGGAGGGAACTGGCTACGTGGCTCAGAGCGGTAGTTCACAGTCACCGCGCACAGGAACCCCTGATACCAAGCGATGTAAATATATCAGCTTTCGAGGTTCAGGGATCTTGTATGACGCAGCTGCAGGCTATATTCGGACTGTGTCTATATTAGGACTGCAATAAAAGCAAACCCCTCTGGCTGCGATTGATCTTAATAGTGTGTCTAAAACGATTTACTATATGGAGTCGGACAAAATACTCCAGGGCTGACTCCATGGATTATGTATGAGCCGGGGAGAGAACAAGAGCAGAATAAGTAACTATCCAAATAGATAAAGAGAGGGCATCCACACAAGCATAACCATAAACAGATTTATATGACAAGAAGTTAGAGACAAGGAAAAATGCAGGAAATGGGAGACCTAATCAGATTTGTCACAGAGCACAGGAAAGGAATATGGATAGCTCGCTAAGTGTGGGTTTGCAAAGGGGAAAAGAAGAGATTCGTGGTATGAGCTTCGATACGCGATGCATCAAAACGGGGACCAGGGTCATGATATGTACACATGTCGATTCCAAACTGGTTCGAAGGGACAAGCTGCGATATGTGAAAAGGACATCCCAGCCTCAGAATGAGCAAAACTTCAGGGCAAACATAGGAATTGCCAGGAAACCAGGATTATATACGCCAGTCTAGTATGGGCGAACACAGGGAGATTAGAAGCCGAACGGATTATTGGGGGCTGTTGATCGAGTTAGTTTTTATTATTTCTATCACCTGTAACGTTAGAAAACACTCACTAGCTTGCGAAAGGTTGGCTCTGAGTCCAGTCGGTTGTGGCTCCAGCTTCTTAGGGCCATCTGGCTTGACACCAAATCTGATGGAGGGAGGTGGTCCGGTCTTCTGTGGCGACAGAGGAGTGGCCGTTGGTTGCTGGGGAATAGGCGGCACAGGGGGGGGAGATGTGTAGGACTGGTTGCCGTAACCATTGATACCAGTGGGTTGCGGTTGCAATGCAGGAGGAAGGACAGAGTTGATACCAGTCTGCATTGGTTGTTGGTGTTGCCCATATCCACCAAAGCCTGTGGGCTGCGGCCCAAGTCCCTGGAACCCGGTTTGCTGAGGGGCCATTTGGTTACCATACGGCTGCTGCTGCTGCTGCTGCTGCTGGATACCGAATTGGGACTGGGGAGTAAACGCTGTGGGCTGCGGCATTAAGCCATTCTGATATGGGGGTTGACCCATAAATCCTGTCGCCTGCGGCTGCATCGAAGCTTGGTAACGCTGCTGGCTTATTTCGCTCAGACTCTGGCCAGGAGGAGCAATCGGAGGACCCGCCTGGGGAAGGCCCGTCAGCTGAGCCTGCAATGGAGGAGGACCAAAGGAGTTTTGTTGTTGCGAGAAGTTCTGGGGGGCGGACAGTGGACGCTGCGGGGGCGGAGGTAAGAGTGAGTTTTGTCCAACTGTTTGGGGGGCCTGAGGGCGTTGCCTGGCCTGTGCTTGGAACCCAGTCTGCTGAGGGCTGAAACCTTGCTGGTGTTGTCCTATCTGTGCCACTTGGGCAAACAAGCTGGGGGTGGCACCTGTTTGCTGAGCCGGTTGTACTGGTGGTGATTGCACCGCAGTGGCCTGAGGCTGTAAGGCAGGCATGGGCGGGGCAGGCTGTGCAGTAGGCTGAGCTGGCGTCGGCTGCAAAGGAGTTTGGAGCAAGGTCAGATCCGCCATTGCCCCTGTTGGCTGAGGAACCTGCGCTGCCGGGGGCGGCGGAGTGGGAGTGGCTGCAGCTGGTCGAGCAGGCTGCTTCGGCTGCTTCACCTCCCAAGCATCATCCTCAAATCCGGTTGCAGCAGGCTTTTCAGCTGCCGTAGAGGGTGGTGGACTCGCCGAGCTATCTGGTGATTTGGGCTCACCTCCCTGTCCGAACACTTTGGGATCAACCTCTCCGGCTTGGACGTTTGGTGTTGGTCTGCCCCTTCGAGTGTTGTTACGCAGCATACCACCAGGCCCGGAAAAGAGGCCACCTTGCCCTCCATCCTCACCATTGCCAATGACTTCCTCGCCGCCGAAACTGACGTTTCGGGGCTTAGACTTGTCTGGGGTACGGCCGTATTTGGCATCCAAAACCTTCATCACTCGCAAGGTATCGCCCAGGTTCAGACCCAAATTCTGAAGCATTTCAGAGGTAATGTCAGGTAGTACAGATTCGTCTATCGCATCCTTGTTGAATGACTGTGCATATCGCTCACAGCGATGGGGCCCAACGCCAGCCTTAAGGAAGAAGTCAAACCAATCATAGTCGGAACGTTGCACGGAAGCCCCAGCCTTGGAAGCCCCAGATTTGGAATCCTTGTTATTGGCACCTCGTGGTCGGATGCTTGAAAGAGGTTTGTCCTCATCTAGCGAGACGCCGGCGACCTTCTCCACATGCTCGAGATCCTCAACAGACATCTTCGAGACAGGTACGGCGATCTTGATACCGTTCACCTTGTGAAGCTGGATTTTACCATCCTGGAGACCTATGAACTGGGCTTCCACTGTGAAATCCTTGGTCCGATCCGTCCACTTTCGCACTTTAGTCGGATCAGGCTTGGACTTGACTTTGCTGTCGCGCTTGCTGTGGCGGTCCGAGGAATCCATCGAGTCCGTCCGTGACTTGCCCATAGCAAGCTTGGACAGCCGCATCTCCTCCATCCGGTTCTTCTCCACGCTTGACAGCCCTGGTTCGTTGGGCATTAACGGCGCCTTCGGTATTAATCCTGTGACTTCGACGTAGCTGCTTGGGACAACACCCTCCTTGTTGTTCTTCAGTCGCCGCACCATCCACCACTCCTCAGACTTGGTATCATCAAGGACGATGACCTCGTCCCCCACCGCTACTGTAACTTCGTCATCGCCTTGCGCCATGAAGTCATACAAGATCTGGCCCTTCTTTGGACCACCGCCTTCTCCTGCCTCGAGTACTTCACGCAATCCTCCTGCCCGGTAAGCACCGGCAATCTCACCGAGTGCCGCTGCAATCTCGTGGGCAGTGTCTTTAGCACCAGCATGGAAATCGATGCTCTTGCTAGGCCTGATAAGATCAACAAAGACATGTTTGCCTTCAATCGAGTAATGAGTGAGCTTCTCCGCACTCCATTCGTTCTGCCGATCATCGCCTTCAGGAGAAATAAAGATGATTCCAGTAGCCATGTTGATTCCCAATGTAGTCGGCATCTTCTTTCTCTTGCCCATAACTTCAACCATTTCATTGATGTTGTAGATATGATAGCCGGAAGGTGACCGAGGTGTCAACTCACCTGCCCGGTTGTAAGGGGGAGATGCTTTGACATGTGTCCCGTCACGACCCATAGCAGGCGCCGCCTGCTGAGGACGGGGTGGCGGGCTTGGGTCAGGCGCGTAACGGTCTATAGGTGAGGGTGCATGTTCCGAGGGTGGTCGACGTGGCAGACTGGGCGGCGGGGACTCCTCGCGCTCCTCCGCTTGGTCGTACGATGGCCGGACCGGAAGACTGGGTGGCGAAGGCTCATCTCTAGTTGTCTCGACAGGGGCATGCTGCTTATGGATGATACTTGCGATCGCAGCAGCAGCAGGGTTGTGAGACACATCAACTGGAGAGGCGGCGGGTGAAGCGTCGGTTTCTTCCGGGGCAGTCTCCGTCGGCCGCTGCGGAAGCGTAGGCGCGGCAGGCTCGGCTCGAACAGAAGGTGAAGGAGCGACAGGCGGTGCAGCGGAGCCATCCTCGATGATTTCGATGTAATTTGACGGCGCAAATCCATACTCTGAGTTTGTTCCAACCAATGTCCAATCCGGATCCGAGGTGTCGTACACCATCAGCTCAGCATCTTCTGAGAAGGAGACCTCCTCGTCAGTCTGCCGCGTGTAGTCGAAGAGGGCCGTCGCTCTGTGCGCCGGTTGCACCTATTTCATCTAATATCAGCAATTGTTCCTGTAGCCCGCACGGGTGCATTCGATCAGTGGAGCTCCGCAAGTCCAACGAGACTCACCTCTTCGACATAATTGTTAGGGACTAGGCCTTCAGGTTCGTCCTCATCCTCCCGTCCAGCCTTCTTTTTAGCCCTCCACCAATCATCGTCCGCATTCTTTTCCAAGATGTAAAGGAGGTCGCCCTCATGAATCTCGAGTTCGCCCGCTCCCTGTGGCTGGTAGTCGTACACAGCCGAGTAGACACCGATGAAACCCATATTGGAAACTGATCCCACGGCACCGATCAATTATAACCGCTGCAAATGGCAGCGTCTCAACGTGCCAGCTCTAGGTTTCGCAGTGATGTAGTTTGGGGATGAACGGGTGGTAATCGGTGATGCTGGCCGGTGCTCAGTCAGCCTTGGCGTTCCTTAGTGGGCGGAGCAGGGGATAAGTCGGGATGATGGGATCTTCGGCGGGGAGAGTAGACACAAAATGCCTAGGCGCAAAGTACTGAGAGAGGGAAAATAGAGAGGAGGTTGGATTTAGGGAGAGGGCGGGAAGGTGGGCCAGGAGTTCACAGTCACGTTGCCTCTGGTTTTTTGGACATTCTCTTCAATTGGATTCTTTTGCCTTTTTTTTATTTATTTATTTTTTATATATTTTGGTTTTATTGTTATTTTGATCTTCCTAATTATACGGCAAACTAATTTTCTACTTAAAGCGCTCGGCTCTGAAAGGGTAACATCTATGGGGCAATAGTATAGCGCTTTTGATACTGTGATTGGTACAGAGTATACTATGCCCAAGTGTAGCCAACCTAACCCTGTTGTATGGGATTGTAGTTTATATTGACTGTATCTAATCTTAGAAGGCTTCTTATACTAACAATATGTCTGATTAGATGCGTATAAATATCTTAATAAAACCAAGCCCACCCCCAGGCCTGAGTATATAGTACATGTGGTCTACGTTAAGGAGATGGAAGTAGTAAACGTTGGAATGTGTTCCCTCATGAAATGGAAAAAAAAAAAAAAAAAAAAACGATATCATTCATATACTGGAAGGAAAGTATCAAATGTACAAGATTTATACAATATCATAGTTCATCTTTAAAAGTTTCCTCACTTCCATCACTGTTTTCAGGCTTGTTCGATGGCTTTTTCTTTTCGACCGGTTCTGTTTCCTTCTTTGGCTTTTGTCCGGAATTTTCAGACTTCTTTTCTTGTGACTCTGACGACTTGTCCCAAGTGTCTTCCTCGTCTTCTTCAAGAACCCCTTGGAACTTGATCACGCCGTTGGTTTCCACAACCTCCAGTGTCCAATCTTTGCCATCTGCTTGCTCTTCAAGTAGATTCTTCATCTCTTCCAGTTTCTCTGAGTCGATATCGTACTTTTTCAGAATCTGCTTGGACATTTTTCGAATCTCGCCATTCTCGCGTTTCGCAACCACCTCCACTCGCTCCTCACCGGCAGATGCCACACGTCCTTTTTCAATTACCTTGCCTTCCATACCAACAAGTTTACGGCCTCCAACTTCAATTCCTCCGATAATCGGGAGTTCGGATTTGGCAATATCAGCATCCACATCTATAGCAGCATCGGCCAGTTGGTTGGCCGTGTACCACTCTTTGATAGCTTCCCATTCGGTGACTTCTTCGGGCATCAGGATTTCACGGCACTCAATAGTGTGTACCTCATCCTGTCGCGGTGGCAGGAAAGCAACGTCGTCACATAGACGAGGGGTATAGATTACCATTAGGTAGGAGCACGTGGTGAGCTCCTTGATCCAGCCGATGTGATCTGTCGATTGCGGATGACAATGGAATTGCACCTCAATATTGCGATCGCGTCCCGTAAGATCACACTTGGTCCCGCCACGCAGGTGCTGGACCAAATACCGCGAGCCACCCTTTGTGTGAAGTTCTGCCACATCTGTTTTGGCAGATTGCTTCTCTTCCTCGCCCTTATCGCCAATAAATCTTCCCAATACAAAGGAATGTGTCTCGGTATCTTCAATGGGTGGGTACTGGGGGACACCACGGCCAGCGGGAAGCGCATGGAACTGCTTGACCTGCTTCTGATAACAGAAGGAGTAGGACCACCAGCCCGAGAAATAGTACATGCATCTTCCTTCCATTTCACGTAGAAGTTCTAGACCACGATCTGTTGCTCGAGCCAATTCCTTCTGCTCCTCGGCCTTGCTATTCTCCTTGTCTCTCGTTGTATTATGGTCATCGTTCGTGACACGTGGGATCTGGCAGAGAAGTCGCCGGTCTTCGAGTATCATTTCTTCGTAGGTAAATGAAGATCGATTCACATCATCAGGCTGGTCGGTGGAGTCTGTCCTACCCTGGCCCATATAAATTTGGGGATTGTTCTGATCATTGGCGCGAGGGTTGGCCTGGGACTGGAGCAATGCTTCGGCGTGAGATTCAAGCACATACTCCTCAGGAAATTTCACTTGATACTTTGAGCAATAATGTTAGTTCAGCTCAAATCGTTCTAAGACCAATCCACCTACCTGGGGATAGGCCAGGATATCGTCATTAATGTTGAATGGCTTTTTATTTGCCCATGCGCTGCACACAGCACAGGCCAACACCAGCCATGGCGATAGACTTGCTGAGTGACCCATCTCTTCAAACCGATCAGGTTATAACGCAGTGAACCAAGGATGACAGTGGAGTCTAGGGGTTATAGGTAGCCTGAAGCTTCCCCGCGAAAGGCGCTTGTCGCAAGCAGCTTCAATCCGGCAATGTTAAGGGCTTTGTCATGTAATTGAATCGCATATGGGGATATCAGTTTAATTATGCAAAAACAGAAATATTTTTTCAAAGCTGGAATGAATCAAATGCCTAAGTAGGCAGTCCTCGCACGTCAGGTTTGGTACGGAGTAGTGGAGAGCCGCAATTGCTCCGTGGCCTTATCTGATAACGCCTAATCTACACTGAATTACTAGCTTAGGTATAGATCCCAATTACCAAGTCACCTGATTTTAAATGCTGAACTCAGCATTATGTACCTCATTTATCAGGTATACACGCTAACCACATATGGTTAGGCCTTTTGCTTAGCGGCTGCTGACGGGGATGTTGGTAATCCAAGCCAAGTCATTTCATTGGCCCAACCGGGCTGACTGATGTCTTGCAAAGCATTGGGGGATGGGTGCTACAAAGCCCTGGGGAGTATTTATGAGATTGACTAACGCTGACAGCATTCCTTTCCATGTAGAACATTCTACTCTTTTCAATCGCTTCCTTTGCATATAAATAACCCTCATCTCATCCATGAAACTGCTTCTACCACTTTTAATTTGCATCACAGCAATCTTTCTTACCTATAACCCTTCTATCAAAGACTCTCTCAAAGACTCTTTTCTCAGATTCATTCAGCAAAAGGCTCCTAGCCTGTCACAGTACATTCAGACAAAAAGCATTGTCAATCAAACAAACCACCACCCCGACCTGGAAACCCCGACTCCAATAGTCTTTCCCATCACAGATATGTCCGTTCCTCGTGCAATCCGACAGGCATTCCTTGCCGTTGAGCAAGCCGAAGGCGCAGGTGCCCGTGTGCGCCGCTCTATTGGAACTGCCAAGCTCCGCAACTTCAGTCCCTTCCTCATGCTCGACCACTTCACCATCGGCAAGGGCGCCGGCTTCCCGGATCACCCCCACCGCGGACAGGAGACCATCACCTATTTGTTGTCCGGCGGCGTTGACCACGAAGACTTCGCTGGTAACAAGGGAACCATCGGACCCGGTGATCTGCAGTTCATGACTGCAGGCCGCGGCATCATGCACGCTGAAATGCCCCACGAGAACGCAGACGGTAGCCCCAACGTTGGTATGCAGTTGTGGGTCGATCTGCCCCAAAAGCTGAAGTTCTGTGAGCCTCGTTACCGTGATCTGCGCGCTTCGGAGATTCCCCTTGCCACAGTCGATGAGGGCCGCGTCAAGATTAAGGTCATCTCGGGTCAGTCACATGGTGTTGACTCCGTGCGCGACTTGGCCTACACTCCTGTCTGGATCTTGGATATCACTATTAAGCCTGGTGGTCGTGTCTCACAGCCCCTGCCACAGGGATGGAACTCATTTGCCTACACTTTGGCTGGTGAGACTGTCTTTGGCTCGAATGATTCCACTCGCATCGTGAAGGAATTCACAAACGTTGAATTCGAGCAGAAGGGCGATTTTGTGGAACTATCCGTCCCCGATAATGCCGAAAAGGATGCTCGCATTTTCCTTGTGGCTGGCCAGCCACTGGACCAAAAGGTTGTTCAGTATGGACCATTTGTGCTGAATACCCAGGAGGAGGTTTACCAGGCGATGCTCGACTACCAAACTGCGTCCAATGGATTTGAGAGGACCCGAGGCTGGCAGAGTGAGATTGGCAAGCGAATGGGATAAATCCCATGGTTTTTGTTAATTGTTTTTGCATTTTCTTTTATGCGGACTATGGTAACATACATTAAGGTGTTTGGCGTAATTATATATGATATTGAATGAAGTCCTTCATATGAATGATTCATCGAGTCACCGGGAATTAATGTATCAGATATCTCATATTATACACGAAAAGGTCGTTTATAGCAACTCCGTATTCCCCTTCTTCACCGAGAAGGAAAATACACACATTAAAAAGACATTGCGATTCTATCCTAGATGAGATGTACATTTCTTTGAAATATCATATTGGGCTAAGCGGATCGGATTATTGAAGTCCTACGTCGACAAGGAACGAGGCCGCTACCCTAGGAGACAGGTAGGTGAAATCAGGTTTACCTGCATGTTTTAATTGTTGGATACATACTCCGTATGCTAGATCAAATTATCGCCAAATTGCAGGAGGTAAAAAGAAAAATATGTTCTGTCGATCCATCGTAGCGCCACTCAAATTGTCTCAGTCTGCGTGATTCCGTCGATTTTGATAGTCGCTCCAATGGTACCGATCAGAGCAAGCCCCCTGGGAATGTGGACGTCGCGAATCTTGAAGCAAGCAAATACAACCAGTCTCTGAAGGGCCGGACAGCACCGGAAGATGCACTGCGTAAGGTAGTCGTCCACCACAGTACTAAAGGAAATGTCAAGATACTGGAGGTTGGGATACATTTTGCCTTCTGCGAAAACCTGTTCAAATGCTTTGTATGAAATATGACGGCACGACGAAATGTTCAAGTGTTGAATCTTCGAGCCCGAATGTTCCATAAGCGCAAAGAACCCGTCGGATGCAAGCCCAATAGGCTCCTCCGGACCGTCGGGATTCGTCATGTCCACGTCTCGGAGGGAGTTTAAGTCGACATAGGTAAGAGCCGGATTAAACCAGCCCGTGAAGAGCGCGGCCAAACCTTTATCGGTGAAGGTTGAGTTGAGGGTAAGACGAAGCTTGGTTAGATGACGGCAATGCTCGTGGATATGCTGTAAAAGTCGGTCATCGACAAACTCAAATTCCTCCAAAGATAGAGTTTCCAGCTGAGAGCCAACACTACTCATGATTTCAAGAAGAGGCTCAGTCTTGAGTTCAGTCTCGTGCAGAAAACGCAGCGACAAATGCTGAAGGGACTTGAGCGACGAGATTCCCTCAAGCATCTCATTGTCGATTTTGTGTAAAAACTTCAGTTTCAGTCGCTGAAGCTCGGGGCAATGAAGGTACATCACTCGCGCAGTTTCGTTATCGAAGGCAGAATCCAGGTTCCACAGTTTGAGGCTCAGGAAACGATGACCAAGTTTCATGAAAAGCTGACGCCAACAGGCATCGGTCACAAGGTTTGGCCCATCCAGATGGAGGTCTTTGATCTCCATATCACGTTCTATCATATAATAAAAGATCTGGTCCTTCATTGGCGTGGTGAATCGAAGGTTGACCCTTGTAAGACGAGGCATGGAAGCCAGAATCTTGTGGTAATCATCCGTGCCAAGTTCTAGTCTTTGGTTAGACTTTCATTGCTTCAGAGAGAGAAAATAACCCCGACTTACTAGCACAGTCAAACAGATCGATGGATGTGTAATGAGGTCGTAAGAACAGATCTAGGGTCCGCGGGGTCACGGCCCGCCTTCTAGACAAGATCTGACCGAGACGTACTAGCAATGACGGAGGCAAATCGCCGAAGTCCTCAATATCATGGATATAATCTGCCACTTTCTATAAAATGATTAGCGGTCCTTGGCCAATGCCCGGAGCTTGAATGCCATGGACATACCTTGATACAGGTTTCCAGCAGACTCTGAGTACCATGAGGAGTCAACCCATCAAGTAGATTAGCTTGATTCTGACGTCGACCAATTCTAGGACCACGCTTCTTGGCCGGGGGCTTTTTATCATCAGCCGCGTGTTTCTTGGAGCATTCAACGCAAAGCAAGCCTCCATTCGGACCGGCCTTGCTGTAGGGAGTCACGGTGAAGCGCTTATCGCATATCTCGCAATTTGCAAGCTGGCCCGGTTGCGGGCGGTTTTTTTCTTCGTGAATCTGTAGAGCAAGGAAGTCATCATCTTCCTCATCATCGTAACCGCCACTAAAACGGGCCTTGCGCTTAGCAAACTCCTTGCTATTTTTTATCCTTGCGATGGCTTGCTCGCGCTTGCGCTTCTTGACGGGGTCCTCTGGTGACTCCAAGACCGATGGAGACCTAGATGCTTCGGGTGCATTAGATGATCCTTGTTCAGCTTGGTCAGTCTGGCGCTGTGCTTCGGCTTGCCGGCGGTCCCAATCATCCCGAATTTGTTGGGCTGAGATATTATTTGACTAGAATTAATCAGCAAAACCATACCTTCCAGGTTATAAAGATATCAACATACAGCAAGATAGTCAGTCAAGGCAGAGCGTCTAGAGCTGCGGTTAGTCTCTGGGTGATAAGGTGAAGGGAAGCAAAACATACGGGCCCCTAATGCCCTGGGGCTGAGTTGGCTGTCTTGGTTGCCTACGTCTTCCTGTCCTTTATAAAGTCAGTTTGAATACAACATAAAATATAACTCGTACTCACATATTGTAAAAGTGAGGCTCAAAGTCGGTCTAGGCCCGAGTCACTGGACCCGTGGCAATTTCGCGTTTCACTTAACGCGGTCTTATCTGAGATAAGACACGGTGTGAATATTGGGGGATATGATGATATGGAGAATATGAGGAATACACAAAAGAAGAAAGATGGAGAGAGATGAAGTCAGAGATACCTTTAATGCTCTTGATAATTATTTGCCACCAGGGGGGAAAAAACAAGAGAAGGAGAATCGGGAGATTCCGAGGAAATTTTCTGGTTCAGGCACCTGCCTCCGACTTCATCTCTTCTCTCTTCTCCTTTTCCCTTTTGAATTTCCCATTGGGGAACTTTTATTTTCATCTCTACTTTCTGGTGTTAATCTTTCATCCTATTTTCTCTCTCCTATTCCTATATTCAAATAAAACAAACAAGTGAAGTCGGCTTCTCTAGGTAGTGGCCCCCCCTTATGTCATTTTCCTATATATTCTTCAAACTTGGCTAACAAGATCCATCGTTATAGCTTAGTACCGTTTAATACCACATTTAATCTGCAAGCCTCTCGTTTAATCGCTCTCTATATCCTCCCGGTTTCAATATGAGGCACAATCTGAGACCCAGAACCACAATCCCTGATTCAGATGATGATTCTCAATTCAGTGAAACGTCATTGAGGAATTCATCACCCCTCCGTCGGTCAAGTCGATCGGGAACCATACGAGCTGGTGGGTCATCCCTTTCTCAGTCACGCCCTCGCGTCATCCAAGACTCTGAGGCAGATGAGGATGACTATGCCGGTCTATCGGACTCGGTTATACCAGACAATTCTGCTGCGGGCGGAATTGCAGTGGTCGTACCGGTGAAAAATGAGTCATCTAGTGACTCCAATTCTCGGAGTTCGATTGGAAATCTGTCGACGGGCTATAGTACCCCAGCTACCAGCGTTGGCGCTGCAATTACCGAACCCGACACCAAGACTGTCACTAAAGCTTCGGCGCGTATCAATGCCGCCGATCGCGTAAGGAGACTACAGTCAAGCGCATTATCACTAGGAGCTTCTAAAAGAGGAAGAAAACGCTCCGCGGCTATTTTGGCAGAGGATGATGGTGCTTCTGGTGTACCAGTAGCTCGTGCCTCCAAAAAAAGGACAACAAAACGGCCTGCTGCTGTTTTGTCTGTTCAAACTGATCCCGAAACTTCCGATATCGCACTAGCCCATGCACTCCAAATGGAAGAATATAATTACCCACGCCCGACAACAGAAGATCGTTTGCTTGTGGACAAATTCATTGAGGAACACATGAAATACGATCCGGACCCAGATTCTAGACCGGTGTCCTTTTCTCCGTTGAGTCCTGAGCCACCAGGGCTGCTTCCTTCTGGCGTTGCTTCTTCGGATACCTCTGGGGATCCCCTAGAAGGTGGATCTCCCATTTCTCTTGGGGAAGACCTCAATGACGATGACGATTCTGAAGGAGACCTACCCCCAACCTGGGAAGAACAACGGAAAGCTCGCCGTGTAAGTCTGGTTCTTTTCCTACATACCTTTACATGACTGACCATCACCTAGGCAGAAAAAGACCGAAAGAACCTCGTGCATAAGCACCCCACAATTGGTACTATGTGGGATGTGCTCAAAGCGCAGCCGATTATCGAGCCAAAGGAAGCCAAACAACCTGTCTCCATAACTCGTAAACTCAAGCCATTCCAACTAGAGGGGCTGAACTGGATGATAGAACAGGAAAAGACTCAATACAAAGGTGGATTGTTGGGTGATGAGATGGGCATGGGAAAGACTATCCAAGCAGTTTCACTCATCATGTCTGATTTCCCCCAACCCGATCCAACTCTCGTCCTTGTGCCACCTGTTGCTTTGATGCAGTGGGTATCTGAGATCAAGGAATACACAGATGGCAAGCTGAAAGTCTTGGTCTATCACAATTCCGACACAAAAATCAAAAAGATGACATCGGCTGAAATTCGCAAATACGATGTTATCATGATTTCCTATGCAAGTCTCGAATCCATTTACCGCAAGCAGGAGAAAGGCTTCTCTCGCGGTGAAACGATGGTCAAAGCAAATAGTGTCATCCACGCAGTCCATTACCACCGCCTCATTCTTGACGAGGCGCATAGTATCAAATCGCGTACCACTGGTGTTGCCAAGGCATGTTTTGCCTTGGAAGCTAATTACAAGTGGTGCCTATCGGGCACACCCGTACAGAACCGAATTGGAGAATTCTTTTCCCTTCTACGATTTCTACAAGTCAAGCCATTTGCATGCTACTTTTGTAAGCAGTGCGATTGCGAGCAACTCCAGTGGACCTCGACTAAAGAGGGACGTTGTACCGAGTGCTCTCACACTGGGTTTATGCATATTTCAATCTTCAACAAGGAGATTCTCAACCCAATTATTGAGGGGAAAACTCAGCAACAACGCAAAGACGGTCTCCACAAGCTCCGTCTCATCACCGATCATATCATGCTCCGTCGGATGAAACAACAACATACAAAGTCCATGGAGCTCCCAGCTAAACGTATCACATTGCACAATGAATTTTTTGGCGAGATCGAACAAGATTTCTCACGCAGCATCATGACGAACTCCACAAGAAAATTCGATACCTATGTCAGTGAGGGTGTCATGTTGAATAACTATGCCAACATCTTCGGATTGATCATGCAGATGCGCCAAGTTGCAAACCATCCCGATCTCATTTTGAAGAAAAAGGCGCAAGCAGGGTTCAACGTTGCTGTGTGCTGCGTCTGTGATGAGCCTGCAGAAGATGCCATTCGGTCTCAGTGTCGTCATGAGTTCTGTCGTCAATGCGCCAAGGACTATATCCAGTCTTTCCAGGACGATAGCAGGCATGTTGATTGCCCACAGTGTCATATTGCTCTTTCCATTGATTTGGAACAACCCACGCTTGCAGAATACGAAGAATCTGTCAAGAAGAATTCCATCATCAACCGCATCTCCATGGAGAGTTGGACCTCGTCCACGAAAATTGAGATGCTCCTCTATGAACTCTTCAAGGAGCGAAGCAAAAGCCATACTCCTAAATCCATTATCTTTTCTCAGTTCACATCGATGCTGCAACTAGTCGAGTGGCGGCTACGCCATGCCGGATTCAACACCGTGATGCTAGATGGATCGATGACCCCAGCACAGCGGCAAAAGTCCATTGAGCATTTCATGACTAAACCCGAGGTTGAGGTTTTCTTGGTTTCTCTCAAGGCTGGTGGTGTGGCACTCAACCTAACGGAAGCTTCCCGAGTTTTCATTGTTGACCCCTGGTGGAATCCTGCAGCGGAATGGCAAAGTGCCGATCGTAGTCACCGAATCGGCCAACAACGACCTTGTGTGGTCACTCGACTCTGTATTGAAGACTCGGTCGAATCACGAATCATTCAGCTTCAAGAGAAGAAAGCCAACCTCATTCGGGGTACCTTGAATAAAGATCAAGCGGCAGCCTTGGAAAAACTGACTCCGGAGGACATGCAGTTCCTGTTCCGAGGAACTTAAGACATTCTCTCCAAAAGTTCTCCAAATTCTCCAAATACGCCACATTCGTTAAACCCTTTTTCTTTTTCTTTTTTCCTCCATCATTTTCATGATTTCACGACCATGCTGTATCTGTATTAGAATTTTTGTTAGCTAGGAATTTTTTGGTTTCTTTTTTTTTATCTTTCATCTCAAGAATCAAAATAAATCTTTTGCTGAATATCATATACAGTAGTCCAAAGTGTTCCAACGTAATAAATATAGGGCTGACTCCAAATAAAAAGTCAAGTCTTGGCATTTGATATTCTGTTGCCTACATTTGTAAGGCTGAAAGCTTGGCCCTCTCCATTTATTCTGGCTATTAATATTAATATTCTTATTCTTATTTATATTTAATTCCTAGCCATGGACTCTCAACCTCGGTCACTGCCTATACATCCCATTGACAAATATGGCCCTAAATTTGTCGAGAAGGCTGACAAGATACATCACCGGGTCACTATGAAGGAAGAGTCAAAGCCCGCTGGAGGCTTTGATCCGACTCCCATTCCTCATGCCCCGCCAGGCTATACCCTCAAGATTACTTTCCATCGCGCAGAGGATCTGCCCATCGCGGACTTTGGCAGTTTTTCCTCCGATCCCTATGTCTCAGCGCAAATGGTAGTCGACCTGCCGAAGCGCCATAAACAAGACCCCGCCGTGAGCTTCCGCACCCCGACCGTGCGCAAGGACATGAACCCCAGCTGGGAATGCGAGTGGATTGTTGCAAATGTTCCCGCTTCGGGGTTTCAGTTGAAATGTCATCTGATGGACGAGGACCCCGCGGATCACGATGATAAGCTGGGGATCGCTTTCATCGACGTTCCTACACTCTCGGAAGACTGGGCAGGTTTCAAGGAGAAGTCCTTCAAGGTTAAAAAACGCTTTGGGAGCAAGCGCGTCTACGTCTTTACTAATCTCTCTGCTTTTGCGACTGGTCACCAGAAGGAGTCTTGGTTGGTGGTCAGTATCGAATGCCTCGGTAAGACCCCTGGCACGGAGGGGGGTCATATGTACACCATCGGTCCCAACCATTGGTTTAAGCATTTTTCTCCTTTGATCGGACGGCTTGCTGGCATCAAAGATCAAGTTCAAAGCAAAGATGGCAGTGGCAAGGCTATTAGCCGCTACAAGTGTGTTCTCCCTGGCGTTCCTCGTGACCCACTTATATACTGACCCAAATAGTTTCCAAGCGATTCAGATGCAGCTCACAGGCCCCATACCTGCAGAGTTATACCATCGCTATGTAGAGTTCAAGCCATTTGTGGCAGGCATGTTTCAGGCGCAGAGTCTACGAGGACGTATCCTGCATAAAGCGCTCCATCACCAACACCAGCGCATCTACAATTTCGACCGCACTACCTTGCACGGGTCCTTTCAGACTCCTTGCCGTGCACTCACCCAGAAATTTTTGGAGTTTGCGCATTATGGCCAGGGTGGACGGATCTTCACCTATGTGCTCACCTTGGACGGACAATTCCGGTTCACCGAGACCGGTAAAGAATTTGGCATTGATATGCTGAGCAAGCACACGATGCACAGCGATGTGTCTATCTACATCGCGTACTCGGGCGAATTCTTCCTTCGGCGGCGTAAGCATCGCCATCGTCGTAACTCCCCAGAAGGACGTGCAGAGCGCGCAGAGAATGTGGAGAATGCGGAGCATGCAGAATCGAGCACAGTACCCACAGACGAGTTTCCAGTAGAGGAAGATGAGGATCACAATGAGGGCGAAGATCTGGACCAAACCGAAGAAGGGATCCCTATCTCGACCGATCCAGTGGACTACGAACTCTTTATTGATAACGACAGTGGAACTTACCGTCCCAACGCGGAGAAGCTACCACTCCTACAGGAATTTGTATCCTCCAACTTCCCCGGTCTCCATGTTACGACTCTAGACTGCCAGGCAGATGCGAAACGAATGGGAAAACTGAAGGAAGAGCAGCGGGAATTCAAGAAGACCTCAGGAAATGTTATTACGTTTCTACAACAGAGCAGCGCATCTTCACTTTCAATCTCCAGCTCGGAAGAGGATGAACTCAACGAGCGCAGTGGTCATCCTAAACAACGTGGAGATCTTTCCCGACGAGTTCATGAGATGCGTGATCTACGAGGACAGGTAATGCGGTGGGTAGAAGCGGATGAGCCTAAGCACAAGCGTTACTCTACCCGTGAGCGTCCCGCATCGGCTGGTGTGATCACTGACCGTCATGGAAGTCTCGCGACTTGACTTTTTTTTTTTTTTTCTTCTTCTTTTTCTTCTTTTTCTTTGATTTTGGGGTATCGGGGGCCACGTATCATTTTAGTTTGTACTTGGTTTGAACCCGAGTCTTCACGACGTTCATGATTATTTTTTGATACCAGGGTTGCTTTTGTATAGGTTTTTTTTTTTTTTTTTTCATTAATACAATGATATTTAGAAGATTTCTAAATGTATTTATAGAGTCAGAAGTGAGGCTATGGTAGTCATATGTAGTTCCTTAAATATGCCTTGTGAACAAATAAATTAATTACATATTTTCAGATATGAAATTACCTAGTATATATCTAAATAGAAATTACAAAGAAGCAGCTTTTCAAACTATAGTGGTGTGTTGCCTTTTTATCCGACTCTCGCCCCCCCTCCTTCAGATCTCTCTGAGCTCTCTCATCCCTCTCCTTACACACCTTCACTGAATGATCACTCGGTTTCTTTACACCCTTCCATAGGCCATCCGACTGCAAGTTCGCAGACCGTCGATGGCCAACGATTGGTCCGCTACTTCGGTCTCTTTCTCGCGTCGTGAGATCCATTTGCCATCATGGGGAATGTTGCCAGCCGCCTTGACGATGCGGGGAACTTGTTTTTCAAGGATCAGACTCGCTGTAAGTTAAATCGGATCGATTTTTGTAGTTCCTCAATATATTGATGAAATTTCCGGCTAGTCTCGATCGCATCGGTCACGATAAGCAACCCACGACGTCGTCTTTTGACTCTAACCCCCAACGCGTTCCCTGCGGCCAGATTCATAGCTAAGCGCGATGTCGGCGACGATACTCCGATCGAATATATTCAGGTACGCAGTGTCTAACAAAGTCTGGATGTATGTTGTCTAGCTAACAAAGCTCAAAATACAGGACCCCGACACCCCCTCCGCCGCTCTGACCCCGACGTTCATGCTACGGCTATCGAACGACGAGGAGCTGATCTTCAAATTCACGTTTATAATCCGTCAGACACAGACCGGAAATGCTCCAAACTCCGTCAATGGTGTCTCCACGACTATGCCCGAGGTGGCAGATACCAGTCTCACAGGCCTCACGTTCGCTCACGCATCCAACTCGAAGGAACTGGATAATCTGATTACAAGAGAGTTCCATGCGAACCCTAACCTTCAGAATAATTCTAACGTTCAGCTGATCGGAGATTACTCTACTGGGGGCAGTCCGTCAGTGTCATTCGAATGGTCATGGAGATGGAAGCCTCCGAAGGCAACAGAGGACAAAGGTGGCGGCTGGCGCAACAGCTGCAGCTTCTTGGATTACGACCAAAGAACAAACCGCCTCAACACCCTCGCTCATTTTTCTTTCTGGGTGCACAACTCTAATCGTCCCCTGCCGAGTCCTCAGATATCATCACCAAACCTAGAGCTACCCACTTTTCCGCGTTCTCGTATCTCATCAACTCAGTCTGTCCTATCCTACTATAGTGATGCCGAATCCACTCATCCGAATCCATCCACTATTCCGCCTGATCCAGCGGAGATGTCTCTCCCTCCCCCTCCTCCTCCGCCGTCCGTGCCCCCTCCCGCACCACCAGCCAAGGTGGACCTCCCGCATTCGCGGGCAGGCGATGAGATGAGCGGAGTGGAGGACGGACCCTTGTTCCGGGCGACTATGAAAGCGCTAGAGTCGAAGACAAGCAATATGCGAATCAAAATAAAGAAAGTGCTCAAGAAAGCCGAGAGCGCGCAGCTAGCGCAAGCCAGTTGCAATGAGGCCATGGAGGCGTTCATAGGATCATTGAATGATGCATCCACGTCAAATGCAAATGCCATTCAGCCAGCGTTGGATCATTACTTCGAGAAGATCGCTCGGCAGATTTTGAATTACGAGCAACTCAACACGATGCAACTTCAGAAGCTTGTGATTGATCCTCTGGTCAAGCTATATAACAACGATATTAAACAAGCAGAAGCTAAAAAGAAGGAGTGGGATGAAGAAAGCCGCGACTATTACGCATATGTCAGTCGGTATCTGGGCCAGCGGCAGGATTCGCTGAAAGAGAAGAAGCGTGCCGAGAGTGATTCAAAGTACCAAGTCAAGCGCCGGAATTTCGAACTGAGGCGATTTGATTACTCCTCTTTCATGCAAGATCTCCACGGAGGTCGTAAAGAGCAAGAGGTTCTCTCACATCTCACCAAGTATGCAAGTTGCCAGGCCAAGAATTTCCTGTTAACTGCCAAAAATGTTGAAGGAATGACCCCTCAGCTGGATGCCCTAATCCACGAGGTGGACCAGGCCGACAAGGAGTTCCAATTCCAGCGTACAGAACGCGAAGAGAAACGCCGGGCTCTGGAAAATGGTAGTAACCCATATCTTGAGCCCGACGTGGTGGCCAGTGCGACGAGCGTACCTACTATCTCTCCTGGGATTGCGAACGGCGGTCCATCTAACGAGGTCGAGCTTGGCCGAGCTGATAGCACTGGCTCCCAGCTTCGAGGAGTCATTAGCAACACCTCATCGGTTTCATCTCAAGCAAATGCAGGATCGGTTGCATCAGCCACAGGGATTAGTGCACCCACGTCAAACCCGACGGCGGTTGGCACCGCGAGCCAGAATCGCTTCAAGGGTATCCGAGATCTCGAGGAACAGAACAATCTTGGATCTGATCGAAGCAGTGGCCAACAGCGGAAAGAAGGCCTCCTCTGGGCACTCTCCCGTCCGGGATCTCACATCGACCCCAAGGGGATCAACAAACAGGCATGGCACAAGTAAGTACAAGCACGTGAATGGTCGATCTGCCTTCTAATTTTTGTCAGATTTTGGATTGTCTTGGATCAAGGAAAGTTATCCGAGTATAGCAACTGGAAACAAAAGCTAGATTTACACATGGACCCCATCGATCTGCGTATGGCGTCCGTCCGTGAAGCTCGAAACGCGGAACGGCGGTTCTGTTTTGAAGTGATCACACCCCAGTTCAAACGTATTTATCAAGCCACATCCGAGGACGACATGTCCAATTGGATCAGGTCTATCAACAACGCGCTACAGAGTGCCGTTGAAGGCCAAGAGACTCCGCCTTCCTCCGCATCTAGGGATGATAGGCCGACCAGTCGGGATATCGGTTCCGTTTTGACCGGGAAAAGCTCGTCTGTGTCTGGCCACCACTCCTATTCCTCCTCTAGCTCCGGCAACAACGCTGGCGTCATCCGCCGAACAACAGTCGGTGCACGTCCGGGCTATGTCCGTCATGATAGCAACAGCTTTGAAGAAAATCCTGCAAAACTTCTGCAGGTTGTACGGGATGCGGACCAAGGCAATAACTGGTGTGCTGATTGCGGATCCTCGTCCAAGGTTGAGTGGGTGTCCATCAACCTCGGAATCATTCTCTGCATTGAATGTAGTGGTATTCACCGCTCTCTGGGCACGCATATATCTAAGATCCGCTCTCTCACATTGGATGTACATTCTTTCTCGAACGATATCGTCGAAATTCTCCTACAGATTGGCAATCGCGTCAGCAACATGATTTGGGAGGCGAACCTGGATCAAACTCTCAAGCCGAGCGCCAGCTCTACACGAGAGCAACGGTTGAAATTCATCACCGCCAAATATGTTGATCGAGCCTACGTTGAGCATCTGCCTTCACCACGTTCTCGTTTTGCGACACCCGATGAAACACTTCTCGCGTCAATCAAAAAGAACGACATCCAAGGGGTCCTCTATGGCCTCGCCCTACGTGGCAACGTAAACATAACCGATCGCTCCCGCAACACCCATGCAACCTTCCTAGCCCTCGCCGCAGCCGATCCTGCGTCCCCGGGCTCTCCACCGACCACCCTCGCCGCCAAGTCTAGCGCAAAGGCCATCCCGTTCCCTATCGCCGAGCTGCTAGTCCAAAACGGCGCCGAGATCCCGCCACAACCCCCTTCCATCCCTCTCTCCCCCGCAGCCAAGCTCTACCTCAGCCAGCGGACCGCCCGCACATCTGCCTTTAGCGTACCTCCACCGCCGCTAGGTGGGAAGTCCTCTGCCAATGATACCCTGGGCTCTCTCCCAACTATTCGCAGCAAGGACTCTTCCTCTTCGTCAAACACGCCCACCCTTGCGGAAAGCAGAGATAAAGACAGAGAGAAGCTCTCTAAACGAGGAAGCGCCGGCGCCCGCTTTGCTGGGAAAGTGGCTTCACTTGGAATTGATCGATAAAGGGCTTCTCCCCCGCGCTTCATCTTGTCTATATCCTCCGTCTAGCACATCAGCCGCGCCGCCCATAATCGTAATTATATCAGTGTTTAATGAGATTCCGCATGAAAAATTCCCCTCTTGATGACTTTTTTTTTTTTTTCTTTTCACTCTTTGCTTTTCTGTTTCTGGTGGTCCATAATTTTTTTTTCTTTTTTTTTTCCCCTGCTCTTTGGCTCTGAGTTCTATGAGGTCCAAATGGTGATTTCTCTCTTTTCTTTTTCACTTCGTGTCAATTCTTGATACTAGCATATCGATCCTAGTTTTGGATGGTTGCTCACGTGGTTTATTGTCTTCCTAGGACAAATTCAAATATGGGTCGGGTCTGTTGCCTTTGCCCTACGTTTTGATTATTTTGTTTTTTTTTTATCAGCTGTAGTTGTGCTCTGGTGTCCAATGTTGGAATGTTCTGGGCGGCTTGTACTTATCGAGTTTTGGGGAGAATCTACAGTAACCAGTCGTGATAGCCATGAACTGATCTCTTGAGTAATTGTCTATATCGAATGGAGCTAGTTGAGATATTTTGTACACCTGTTTTTTTTGTTTGCCTCGTTATCCACTTTCCCCTATCAACAATATTTATGAACCGATACTCTCTTGGATACTGAATACTGTACAGAAACGAAGTTGCCTAACAGTGGCGATACCAATATGCCTACGCATCCACCCTGACCCCAGCAGCTGACGATACTCTCAACGGTCATAATGCTAGAAACTGCAACACCGTGGGGCTGTGGCGTCTAGCGGTGGCCGAGGATGGTAAGACCTGCAGTCTACCCGATGAAATTAGAATGGACTACACGGAGTTATATGGATCTATATGGATATATATGGAGACGTGGCTGTGAAGGTTCATTATATGCAACGCAACACTACTCGGAGATACCCTGCTGATCCCTGCTCCATGTCCCTGCAGTGATTGGGGTAGTATATGTAGTGAGAGTCAATAGTCACGAAGCTATGATAGGGGCTTAGAGTGGAATATGCCCCATCCGCATCATATTGCATTGTGAGGGTGACCCATATAATTTTCAGTGAATTTGCCTGGATCAAAGAAGGTAAGAGAGAAGTAGTCCAAGATGTGTTTGACAAGACAGGGCTAGATGTGGAGAGACGTGGGGAATATGATGTCATAATGCCTAAGGTGTCAATGTGGCGTCTTGAAGAACATCCTCGACAGTTCGAGAAACTGACCACTCACGTTAGACTGATCGTCCCGATTCCCTGACCCAAAAACAGTAGAAAGCGCTAGAATGCGGGTTTGGACCCTTTTGGATGGGTTCACTTACAAAGCGTGCGTCAGTGGCCCCTCCACTGTCGTCAATGTACTTAAGTACTTCTTGAAATGGAGCTTCAGTATAGTGAGAGTGGGGGAATGAGTCATGGTCACAGCAATCTGATGTATACGTGCTCTTATATTAGAGAGGACTCGGAGAAATAGTCCGATATCAATGTATATACAATGTGCTGAACTACCATGATTTCCCTGATTCTCATAGAAAGGTGACAATCTCGGAAGGTACTTTTCAAGATCCAAAAATTGAATGGCGAGATGCAGAGTTACTCTAATATTCTTTGATTGGTGTAAAAATCCTAGTGGATATAAAAAAAAAGTGTCTAGGGTTCGTTTCTCTTTCTCTTTATATAGGTGCTTATGTACTCCGTAGTGTAGATTTAACATCACTGATTGGCTGGCATGAGATGCCGATAGACAAATCGGGTGGACCCGACTTCACTTTGTTTTTTTGTTTTTTTTTTCTTTTTTTCTTTTGGTCTTTTTTTTGGTTTCAATTTCTGTCTTTTTCCTTCAATTGGTTCAATTTCAAGGGAAAAGGCTCCCTGACGTACAGCTTGGTGTTTTCAGTCTCCACTACCTACTTTTATACTCTGAAACAGAGAATACTAAACACCATATGGTGACTTTTCCCCATTATCAGACTGCACTATAGCACATTTGCTTAAACTCGTACAATCTACATTGTACTTCAATGTTCCAACTGAAAAGTCTGAAAAGTTTGAAAGATCTAGGAAACATGAGTCTGAGATATCCAGAAGTCCCATTTATGAAACGCCCCGTCGGATCCAAAACCTCATTTTGACCAAGTTTGATCAAACGGCTTTGCGCCTGTACTGTATCGTTGTGCTTGTACTGTACCGTTTGTCCGTACAGTTCGTTTCTATACCCTTTTCTCATTGGGTATGTTCTTTTTTGTTTCGGCTCTTTTCTACCTACTTGGGCTTCCTCCCCTGATAGTGGCAACTCTATGCATTCAAGTCATTCGGTCTAGGCTCCGAGAGGCTCTTTGGGCTCCAATTTCTCAGTCCATAACCCCAATCACAATTCTGCCTTCTCATCACAAAAAAAAAAAAAAAAGAATGCTCTGCATCTGTTCAAAGAGTAAGCACGTCTGCATAAATGACACATAGATGATTTTATTCGATTCCGAGAATCATCCCGAGTCTCTTATTTGATATATAGACTTATTATTATTTGATTTGCTTATTCTTATTCTTAGTATAATAAACTGTACGGTCCACTTATCCCGCTTTTTTTTCCTTATATATCTTTATCTTTATATTTATATATATATATATATATATATATATATATATATACTTCCTTGACATCAGCCACAGCTTTCTGCCAAGAGAAGTTGGCTTCAATTCTGGACCTTTTTCAATTACTTTCCTTCTCTTTGGACTCTTTCCTCCCTATCTGTTTCTATCCCCAGAGCTCTATTTCTACCTCTCAACTCTCTACCCTTGACACTTTTCAAATGGCCATTCACATCATTTTAGAACACACCCTTTGACAGAAAATAGGTATGTTAAACCTTTTCTATTTTTTTTTTTTTTTTGTAGTTTCATATTTCTCTCTGGTAGGACTCTCCCCTCTCTAGATTATACCCTTAAAAGAGCTTCCCTTCTCTCTATATTTCCCTTCGTCCCACCTTGAATTTTGTCTTGCGCTTATGGTCTAAAAGGAGGGGGGTTAGTGTGTCGCTGATTTTTTTCTTTTCTCCCCTTTCAATTTCCTTTTTCTTTTTTTTCCACACTTTCTATTTTTCCTCACTAACTTGCATAGCATCTGATCTTTGCACTTCTTCTCCTTCTCTTCTATGCACATCTGTGGAGAGCGGGTTGACTTATATACAGGTAAGGAAGTCCTCAAGTGTAAGATGTGTCCATTGCCTACACTAAAATCTGTAAAGTAGTTACAAGGTTGCAATTGGAAGTTTTGTCGCCCCCATGGGCAATGTTCCTTCAGACAAGACACCCGACGGGACAGCCCCGGTATCAGAACAGGGTTGGTTCTTTCTTTCATCTGTTCAAAGCGTATATTGACTAAATCTCTTCCCAGCCTCTCCTGCTTCAGCGCGACCCAATGTCAGACACCATTCCAGCTTCGCAGAAACTCGATATGGAACCACCTCTTCTCCCTTAAATATGGGGATGGGATACCCCCTCCCAAGCCATCATTTGCAAGGCTCCCCATATGACCACCAGTCAATGCATCAGTATCCGGCAGCCGGGCAAGGCATGATGTATCCTATGCCAATGCCTCCGTATGGACACAACCCCGGCATGGTCTACGGAATGCCTTACCCAGCTTATCCGCCCTATGCGATCCCTCAACATGGAACCCATTACCAGCCACCTGGAACACAAATGCATAACCTCAGTCCCGGGCAAGTATCTTCATATGGCTCAGGCTATTACCCTCACTCGCCATACAGTTCCCCTTATGGACATGGAGTGTCTGCTAGTCAAATGCCCCAGGCTGGGTCTCCAGTCCGCACTAACACGAATTCACCATCTAAACCGGGATCTTTGCGCAAAGAGGATAAACGGATGTCGGAATTAGACTACGACGTCTCAAAGACCATCGTGGATGGATCGAATCCTATGAAATTAGTGCAACCGCAACCTCTCCCCTCTGGTGAGTTATTTTCTTTCTTTCTTTCTTTTTCTTTCTGACCTTTCATTTTGGAACCATTATTAACCTGCAATGCATCTGAAGACAATAGTTCCCCTTCGCAATCAGCCCCGACCGCCCCGAGTACCCCACGAGGACCACCCCGAAAGCCAAAGCAATCCGGTCACGCGCTCTGGGTCGGAAATCTTCCCCCAGGAACCAATGTCGTGGATCTCAAAGATCACTTTTCACAAGAGGCAACAAACGACATTGAAAGTGTTTTCCTCATATCCAAAAGTAACTGTGCGTTTGTGAATTACAAGTCGGCTACCGCTTGTGTTGCAGCGTTGGCGAGATTTCATGACTCCCGATTCCAGGGTGTGCGTGTTGTCTGTCGACTGCGAACGGGCTTCACTGCTCCAGGGTCCGGATCTGTAGGTGCAGGTCCCGTGGCGAATGCTCCTCAGTCACGACTGGAGGATATTGCTACGGGCACCGCTACTACTACAGCTACGGACGAGGAACATTCAATTGCCCCAGAGCTCAGCTCGCCAGCGCCCGCTACGGGGAACTACCCACCCCCGGCCCGACTAGTAGATCGGTACTTTATTGTCAAAAGCTTGACGGTGGAGGATCTCGAGCTGAGCAAGCAAAGCGGCATTTGGGCTACACAGTCGCACAATGAGGCGGCGATGAATCAGGCTTTTGAGGTAAGTATGGACCTAGATGCTCAATGGCCGAGGCTGACCTTTGCTCAGACCACCGACTACGTCTATTTGATCTTCTCCGCCAACAAATCGGGCGAGTATTTTGGATACGCGCGTATGATGTCACCAATCAGCGATGACGAAGAACTCGCCTTGGAAATGCCATCTCGGCCCGAACCCCCGCCTGGGCCCGACGAGCTCGACGTGACCCTGACAGCGGCAACTTCGACCGCACCTCAAGGCCGAATCATCGATGATTCGGTGCGGGGTACCATCTTCTGGGAGGTTGAGTCGTCGGAAGATGAGAACGACGCCGCCAGCGAGAAGAGTGTGGAGAAGGTCATCGAGCCCGAGGATCCGGAAGAAGGCCAAACATTTGGTAAACCGTTCCGCATTCAATGGATCTCAACAGAGCGAGTGCCCTTTCAGCGCACTCGTGGTCTTCGTAACCCTTGGAATGCGAATCGGGAAATCAAAATCGCTCGTGATGGTACTGAAATCGAGCCAACGATTGGCCGTAAGCTGATTCAATTGTTTCACTTGCCTTGAATTTTCCGATTTCTCAATTTCCTAACTTGGAAATGATCTGCTTCGTCTCTTCTCTATTATCAATCTGTAGCTTGTTTTCCTGTCCTATAATGGCAGGCATTGACAAAGGGGATTTCAGGAACCAAGTAACGCTTAGGATTTCTGGTTTACTGTCCAGAAATTCCGATATCCAGCACATATATGAAAACACTTTATGGGAAATGAGCAATATACGATGTGCCTCCCTATATTCATATAGTTACCTCTGGGCTACGAATGCTTCCCCTCTTTTATGCAGGGATTAGTCTTCACGGATAACCATCAATCATCCCAAACAACGACCAAACCAGACACTAGAAAACATTCACGTCATATGCACCTACTGTAAGATTACCATCTATCATATACATATATTTGACTTCTGTAGGTTTGGATTATTTATGTTATTGTAAGATTACTGGTATCAATGGTTATATCCCCCATATATGGATATCCTTATATAGCCTTATATAGCCTTATATAAGCTTATATAGGGTACCAAGATTCAGGACATTCCCACCTCACTATTCAGTGATTTAAACCAATTATAATGATTTAAAGGAGAAAGTATTAAACCAATTATAATCAATTCTAATAAGTGATATAACAAGTCAACTATCAAATTAAACCAATCAAGTCAAATTACCAAAAAATCCCCAAAATCCAACATGACATCACGTGGACTCTCTCTCTCCACTTAGCGCCACTTTCCCCAGATAATGTGATGCTTAGCTTTCTTCTACCGAAACCTCACTATTTCCCACTTTTCTTTCCTTCTCTTCTCTAACTTCTAGCTTCCTCTCTCTAAACACTTCTGTTTTTATCTGAACCATTTCAATATTTTCAATTCCTTATTCCCGCCATTACTCCCTTCCACCTTCCACCCTCCACCCTTCCACCTCCCCACTTTCCAAGTTGAGATCATACCACTCTCTCCTTGGATCTCTCTATATTCTCCAATCTTCTATTCTATGAGAAGGGCGGCTAGTCCGTCCGAGTCTTCTTGCTCTCTCAGTTCAGACCCTCCTTTATCTGACAATGTCTAACGATCGTACCTCCCCCATCTCGGTCCCAAATGCGGAGAATCGTCCACGTCGTGGTTCCATCGCCGACATCTTCTCCAAGCAGAGCAACCCATCCAACACCCAGCCTACCCAACAGTCCAATCAGCGTCGGCTGTCAATCACCACGCTAGGACTTTCTGGTTCCCCCACTCAAACATCCGCCTTCGGTGGCAACCGCAACTTCCGTCGAGGTAGCCTATCTAGCTCAATGGGCTCCAATGTCCCAACCGAAGATGCCCTCGAGGACGAGCAAGGAACAGAAACCTCGCCTAGCTCGCAGTTTGGGAGACGTGTCTCCTTTGGTGCACAGGCCCTGCGTGATGCTCGTGTAGGAAGCATAGGCAATGGTAGAAACTACCCCCCTCCGTCTGCTGTAGGCCCGCGCCGTTCCCCTCCGGCTGGCTCAGCCCTCGCTGCTACCCGATCTTCCGCAAGTACTTCAACGTCTCCTCTGGATGAGAGATCTAACGCATCACGCCGACCCTTAGGCGAAGGCTTTAACTGGTCAGAGGCCCTCCGCTCTCGTGCCGAGCGTGCCCCTTCCATCGGCGGCCCTGTCTCCCCGCAGGCAGCCCAACGTTCCGGTTACCACCAGCGTGCCGCTTCCATCGCATCTATGGAGCAGCCTAGCCGGGAAATGCCCCGTCAGCCCAAGCAGAATAAGCCAGACTTCTTCCAGGAGAAGATCTTGCGGGGTGACTTCATGGACTAGAGATCAATTCTCGTCACTTTCCCAGGGAAGTATATCCTGATCAGTGCTACTGGGGCTCCATTTGGCTTCTTTTTTCTTTACTTTTATTACTCTTTCTGCATCAAAAGTCTCAACAGGCTTATATCAATTCTGGGTTTCCATCCGCTCGATGTGTGTTTCCCAACTTTTTCCTCCTTCTGAAAATAGGTGGAAAATGTATGAAAATGATTCATGGTTGGATCATCAACTTCTTTTTTTTTTTTTTTTTTTTTTTTTTCTTTTTTTTTTCACCCCTGGGATTGGGGTTTTTTTTTTTTTTTTGGCCTTTTTTCTTTCCCTTTTTTTTATTTTTTTCTGGTTGGGTTCTTGAATTTTTTTTTTTTTTTTTTTTTTTTTTTTTCCTTTTTTCTTTCAGCCCTGGGATCGGCGTTTTTTTATCTTTCTGGGCCTTTTTCCTTACCCATCCTGGTGATGATTTTACTCTTATGACTACCAAATTGACACCCACTGGTCACTGGTTATTGGAATATGAATTGTATTTTGGAATACTCTATATCTCTCCTGTTCCTTTCAGTATATATACATATATATACACTGAACTTCCCCCGTATGTTCATTACTTCCCAACATCGCACAAACTTGCCCCCCTTCGGACCATATACATCACACCACTTCATCCCTTCGTGTCACCCCCTCTCAAGAGAAATGCGAAGAAGGTCCAGTCCCAGCATCATCCGCAGTCTCAGCATGTGAATGTCCAGGCACCTCCGCCGCCTTTCTGCTGGCCGAACTCTCCTCTTCCTTGTTATACTTCTTCGCAACCTTCCGATCCAGAAGCTGGTCGGTCGTGAGCCTATTCTCCGGCTCCGGCGGCTCCCACTTGCTACTCTTCCACGGTGGTACACGCATGATATACATCATGTCCATCTCTTCAAGGGTCTTATCCTTACCCTCGATGACAAAGAAGTAAACAATAATCACCGCAAAGAACAAGCACCCGGCAAACACATACCCATACGCAAAGTCAATATCACCGGTGATAAACGGCGTGAAGAATCCAATCAGGAAATTCCACAGCCAGTTCGACGCAGTCGCCATTGCCATAGCACGTGCCCGGTATCGTGATGGGTACAGCTCGGCCACAATCGCCCACACCATGGGGCCCCACGTCATGGCAAACCCAGTGATGAACAGACACGCAAATACAACCATCGCTTTGCCCGCTCCAGGCGTGTTACGTGGCGTATCCACGTCAAGCGAGAAGTGGCCCACAGACGCAAATACCATAAAGCAGATGAACATCCAGATCCCACCGGCGATCAGAGACTTGCGTCGTCCAAAATGCTCAATCACGTATAGTCCGCCGAATGTGGTACCGAAATTGACACCTCCAAGGATCATCTGCGTTACGTACGTGTTACTGATTCCCGCCCCGTTGAAGATCACCGTTCCCTATATCATATTAGTCCAGCTCGACGTATATTACATTATACCGTCGAAAAGTACTCACGTAGTAGAAGAAGTAGTTGGCACCCGTCAACTGCTGCAGAGCTTGAAGCACAACGCCAAGAATGATACGATACGTCATGCGTGGCGCCTTGAACATTTCAACCCAACCGCGCAGCCCGCCTCGCGCCCCCTGCTCGGCATCCAGCTGTTCCTGGATCTCGGCAATCTCATGCACGATCACCCGGTGGTTTTCAGGTACACCGTATAGCTTTGCCATGGTGCCTCGTGCGCGGTCCACGCGGCCATTTCGGTAGTCGAAGCGAGGACTCTCCGGGAAAAGGAGGATCCCGATTCCGAGGACGAGAGACCACAAGAAGGTGATGCCGAGTGTGATTCGCCACGATGCAGTGCTGTCCATGTGCTCTGTGCCGAAGTTGATGCAGTATGCCACGAAGATACCCAATGTTACGAATAATTGGTAGGAGCTAAGGTTGGGTTAGGGTTATTGGTGTGTATTACAATGTCGAGTGTTTGGTTATTACTTACCACACCATCGCTCCTCGGATGTGTCGTGGTGCGATCTCACCCTGGTACATAGGCACAAGTAGTGAGCATGCACCGACACCGAATCCGGTTACGAATCGACCCATCATGAACTGGTACCATTTTCCTGCTGGTGAGGAGATCTGGATTATCAGTCCGACATCGAGGATGATACACCAGAAGAAGATGGACCACTTTCGGCCAATTCGGTCGGTCAATGGTCCGGCGAGGAGAGCTCCTATCAATGTACCGATGGAGAGCTGAAAAGAGTTGGATTTTCATTCACAACTTTTCAAGAAAACATGCATGTCCCACTCACCATGGAAACAATCAATCCAGACCGGACATTGTTGAAGTGATATGTCCCATCGGGCTTCAGCTGCGCAAACCGCTGCTTGAAGTTTCTCATCTCCAAAAAGCCCGAGATCTGGCCAGTATCATATCCAAAGATAATACCACCAATCGACACAAATGCGCCTAGCAACAGAGACCTCCATGTTACCCATGGCACATGCGACTCATCCAGAGTGATGCCTCTCTTCTCAGTCTCGCGATCTACCGCTGACTCCCCCGACAAGTCTGTCAATGGCGGTGTCTTGGACTTGTTGAGGAATGGGATTTTCATCCTGGAGATGGAAGATCGGTGTTAATCCAGGTCTGGATTGGTTGGGGTTTGGCGTTAGGAGGTCTGGAAATCATAACTCATGCCCAAGGCTGTCTTGTACATTATAAAGAGCTGGCCTAGTGTCTTTACATCGTCATATTGCCACTTCCGGAACAGTTCTCGGACGATGTATCGTCATGCATTGGATGCGCCACTATGTTTCAATTGAAGTATATGTTAAATATCACAATCACAATTGATTATTGGGTATTTATATATAGCCTTGGAATTTATACATCTTCAGAGATATTCTATCCTATTTATTGTAAACATATTTGATATAAAATCAGACATTGGCATATAAGTCCGGGGAACCCGGTATGTCGTGCCGAAGTGTTGACGTCAAGTACTTTTGGAGGGAAAAAAAAAAAAAAAAAAAGATGAAAACAAGTCTTATGAGGGAGGATTATTGGTACTTATGTGTAGATTGAACTGAACTGATACTTAATATGGTAGAATGGAAGTAGAACAATACTAAGAAATGCAAATTAGATTTAAACAATGTCTAAAACTTGGGCAGACCTAATAAGGAATCCCGTTCGTCATCAATTGGAACTGATCATAACCCTTAGTGGACACGCTCATATACGACTTGCGCACAAGTTCCCGCATGTACTCAGCTGCATCGCGCTCGCTCTTTTCTAACACAAACCGGTCACGGAAATTCTTCAGAGTCTCGGGCTTGAAGCACGGAAGACCACTGTCTAGCATGAGGGAGACAATATGGGCCAGCTTTGTGCTATAAGGACGAGATGCAAGGAATGCCTTCACCACCAATGACTCGAACCATCGGTATGGCTGCGTGTTGGTCGGGTTGTGGGAGCTGCCTGGGAGGTTGATACCCGAATTGCCGCCCTGGTGGTGGGCTGGGTCATGGGTTCCACTCATGACGGCGACCATCTCAGAGGTCAACTTGAACGGCGCGCGCTCAAATCGAACTCCACCAGGCGCAATATCGAAGCAGAATCCGAAGTCAATATGGATGATATGGCCAGCGTCGTCAATCATGATGTTTCCGTTGTGTCGGTCTTTGAATTGGAGAAGGTAAGAGATGACCGAGTAGGCGGCCATACTCTTGACGAAGTTGGTGCGCGCTTCTTGGAATCGGATAGAATCCTCGCCTCCGTATTTCGACACGAAATAGTCATATAGCCCGTTGACGGCCTCGCGGCCGAGCATGTCCCGAGAAATGGAGTTGGGAAGCACATCAATCACACCACAGCCAGGCGCTGTCGAAGTCACCCGGTAAGGGTAGACCCAAACGTCTAGACCAATACTGGTAAAGATGCTTCTGAAGGCCGCAATCATCTGCAAAGCAAGCATGTCCTGACGACAGTCGTCACCGACCTTGAAGATAGCTGACTGCCATACTTCATATGTCTCCTGCTCAGGCTCAGAATGGTTCGTCAATTGGCGTTGGTGGTGGTGGTGGTGGTGTTCACCGGAGTTAGCATCAGCCTTTTCAATCAATCGTGGCCTTGTCTTCTGGATTCGGAAAGTCGCCATATAAGGTGCCTTTGCGTGACTCTGCAAAGGCTTACCAGACTTGCGGTCGATACCGACGACCACACCGTCAGGGTTACTAGGAAGGTACACTCCAACTTCCACCTTAATCTTACGCAGCTCTTCCTCAATCTTCTCCTTCTTCTCGGGTTTACTTCTCTTGATATAGGGTCGAAGTTTGCCGGAAACACCCGTGACTTCGTTGAAGAACGAAAATTCTCTCTCGTAGAAGGCACGCTCCTCGTCCGAGAAGCTTGAGATCAAGTTATCTAGGAAACGGTCGAGTGTATCCTTGATAGGGTCCGGCTGTTGAGGCAGTATGTTAACTAACGGTGATTAAGCTTCGACAATACAAATACTTACGATTTGAGAATCTTCGTCCTTAAAGGAGTTAGCCTTCATGTTCCAAATAACCTGGTGGGCGAACAGTTGAGACAACTTGGCTGTTTCGAGGATGTAGCGGTCTACATAACCCAGAGCATCAAAGCGCAGGGCTTGAACGAGTTGTGGCACAAAGTAGAACCGAACATCCATCGAATAGCTCTCCAACGCCCGCATCGCGTACTGCAAGATGTAAGGATGGTTGCCGTAAGCGGGCATGAAGTATGTAATGGCCTCCGTAGGAGTAACGGGAGCCCAGTATAGCATGTACTTCAACTGGGGACCAACATCAGCGGGTAGGCAGTTGTCGAACATGATCTCCAGAGCGCTTGGCTCTTCAATAACCTTCTCAGGGAAATTGAGTATCAAGGATCTGACATCGGCTTGCATTTTGGGTGAGGGAAACCGGGCAGCCACCTGAATAGCCAACCCTGCATTTTCCGCCCAGGCAAGCCGAAGCAAATATACGGGGCTTTCATCTGGATTCTTGCCTCCGATCGAAGGCATGTGATGTTTCCGCTCCGGGTCCAGGGGGAAGAGCCAAACTCGAAGGCGGGATCGTTCGTTCTCCACGAGCATTTGAAGCAAGTCTTGTTTAGACTGTAAAGACTTGCATGACCCTTGCGCATGGGCAGCGATACCTGAAACGCCTCGTAAAGCCGTGGTCACCTCGCTAAGAATTCTGTCCTCTGCCTTAATCTGTAGTCGATTGCCTCCGAATGACCACATTGGAGGGTGCTTGAACCAACTCAAAGCAGCAGACAGAATCTGGTCCTTGAGTTTCCAAGATGTGCCACTATTGCGGGGGCTGAGATGCCTTAGAACCTTGAGACCGAGAAGCACAATACGGAAATGGATTTCTCTCGCCAATGGATGACCTTTGGTTTTTGAGAGCCCGACAACGGTACTGCTAATCAAGCGACAAAATAGCTGTTGATCTTGCAGATTTCCTAGACGGATTGCATTGAAATGGCTCTCGAAGAATTGAAGAACTCGCAGGTGCGGCGAGAGAGTATTTTGAGCTTTTTGCTGCATGCGAAGCATAAGGTCTTTATCAGTTGGCAAAAGCTCAATCTTAGTGTGCAATGGATCAAGGTATTCAAAGGTAGGATCGAACAATCCTTTGCGGCGCTTCATGCTTCTCTCCCAAGCCTCGATCACCTCGCATAAGATCCGTGGCTCGGTGCTTGGATTCTCGTGAATGACTCCAAGCCAAAGAGATACACCAAGTTTGACTGTCTCCTTGGTGAAAATTTGGAAAGGCAATGCAACCAAGTAGTGAACAACGGAGAGTCGTGGCTTGCTGGTGCTGCAAATAAGTCCCGCGGCCTGCCGAAGGACATCCCTGACCTCCACAAGGGGAATCTCCTCGCCAGCAATGCTCTGCGCATATAGACGAGAGAGGGTCTCTTCCAAAGCATCAGCAGACTCAGGCAAAATATTAACACGAGGCTGTTCAACATAACCACTACAATTGTCCCCTTGCAACCCGCCCAGAGAAGGTATCTCTGGACGTCTGTACTTCTGCCGTGTCGTGTATAGTGCCATGAAATCAGAAGCGACATTGAAGTCGCTACTACCGTGGCGGTCAATGGACCCAAGCCGTGGGTCACTTTGTGGGATAAGAGAGCCCATTTCAAGAGCGAATGAACGTCCCATCGAAATATGTCCATAGCCACCGTCGTCGTCGTATTCGGAAAGATAGGTCTGGAGTAGCCCTTTGACATCTAACGGGGCAATATTCAGGACGGTTGTTACCCAGGTCCTGGCTCGCCCATGGAACCGATTCAGAGTCGCCCTTCTCAATGCGTAATTGTCGGGTAATTCGACCTTGACAATACCCATGGGAGACACCAAGGATGGCTTCCACTCGAACTCATCGAGTTCACCTTGAAGACAGGAAGACCACATGACGGTCAGAATCTCAAGCAAAGCAAAGAGGGAATGCTTTTCGCATAAAGCAGAAGGGCATTCGCGAATGATTTTGTCTGCACATTGCGCCGCAATACTTTGAACCCTTTCAATACGATGACAGCAAGCCACCAGGAATCCAGCAAGCTGCTTAGACAGGTAGGGGGTCGAGAAGTCATCATGCTCTCCAGAAAGCGTAAGAGACAGATAACACGTAATCGCTTTGTCTGCAACGGCATTCATGCACACGACCATCTCCGGAGTGGCCAAAGCTGGGTCAAGGAAATAACTGAGCGTCTTGGTAGAGTCCCCTGAGGAGGCACGGAGGCTCTCGACCAAGACCACAGCGTTAAGAAACACCGCTCTTGAATAGTCCAATCTCTTGATATCGGATTCTCGGCCGGGAAGTTCAGAAATCAATGCTCTCTTTTGCTCCAAGGCTCGTTGCGGTCCCATCCCGCGTCTGAGCACCGTGTTCAATTCCACATCACTTTCTAGGGAGTCCATATGGTTTTCAGCAACCAAAGGAGGAGAATGGTGTGCGAGAAGGCGGAGTTCTTTCTGATGCCGTTGGGCAACACTGGAGCTGAGGGAAATTCCATGGATGGCGATGTTGAACCAAGCATCTCGGAACAGAGTCAGAACGGCTTCATCGTACTCCAAGGGTGACCGGGAAGCCCCAGTAGAACTGCCATTGGAAGACACAAGCAGAGCTAGCGGTTTCAAGAGGGGGGTGATATCATCCGCGGCAAAAATAATTTCCTTGTGCCGCTCATATTCAAGGTCTGGCACATCACCCTTGTTGATAATGCTCTCCAGCAAATGGACCAAATAAAGCCTGTAGAGCGGTGAGTCTTGATCCAACGTAACCGAGAGGTAAGCCATGGCACATTGAACGGCATCAGATACGGTGTTCAGTCCTTTGTTAACACCGTCAAGGTATATACGTGCATAGAACTTCAACAAAAGCTGGAACTCCGCTTGTCCACCACTCAAAGCAAGAACCGCAGTTTCCTGGATGATAAAGGCATCAACTGCGACATTGAGCTTGCCAATCTTTTGCAGAAGCATAGACTGGGCCAATGCACTAATTTTGCCGTCGTTACAATTAGTTGCAACCGTCACGATAGCATGAATGACATTCCTGTACGTGATAGTGTCATCTT